GTTTCGTTTAAATCGTTTAGTAGTTCCATGCATTGAAATTCGTTTTGGATTCAAGCTTTTTTGTATTTAGCATTTAGAAAAGAGTGAAATTTTAAGTCCCATGTTACCTGTGTTTTATAAATCATTTGGGATAGATCAGTTTCATCTGATCTTTTAATAGTCCTTGAGCGTGTTCATGTAGTTTTTATTTTAGGGGCAATCTTTGGCCGTTTTAGGACATGATTATCTAACAGTAAGCCGTAGCATAGGATGTGCTTAGTTTTTCTTCTGGCCTTACCTTCGCTGAGATTTTTGTTTGGCTTTCGCAGTTAAAGATTAATTGTTTGTTTGGAAGCATTAACTAAGCATTGAGTAGATTTTTTTCTCATTCTTAAGGCTTTCGTGAAAGTTCATGTCTGCACGGATAAATGATGTGATAGCAAATGTTAATCTTCTAGGGTCACGGCCCGCGTACTCACTCATGCCTTCCGATACTGTATATAAAAGCGTACACTCGTACGTTTTTCAGTGAAAATGGGGGACGAGAGTTCGCTGTAAATCAAAGACAGCAGAAATTGTCACAGTAGTTATTGAGACAACTGAGGTAATAAAGAAGACTGAAAATGTCAGACGTATAGTCCTTGGTGTCTTCTTCAGCGCAGGGTACGTTCCTCAACTAGTTTTCCCCTATATACCACGTCGCAAAACTTGAATTATTTAATTTAGTCCACGAGCAACCCGAGTACCCCTATTTAGTTCGCTTATCAAATTGAGCTGGGAAATCCGGGACTGATCGTAATCCTCCACTTATCAACAATTTTGTCGTTTTCATTCGTCTCTAGTTTTCATTCCCTTGGCCCTGCTTTGGCACCCGTTACTAACCTGAAGTCCTAAGATAGAGTTTATTAACTCTATCCTAGGACTTTATTGTTATTGTATGCTCTATTAACTTTTAATTAATTTTAAGCTACTGTATATTTATAAAAATATCTACTCAGGACCAGCCTGAAAACCACCAAAGGGAGAGGTTGTCTCCCGGCTCATGACATTTATTTATTTATTTATTTATAATCTCAGCATCCTTTGCGGGGTTTTCCCTTTGGTGAAAACAATGACTGGTTTGTAATGATTGTTCAAGGTTTCGTGTGTCCTGAGTGTTTAGAACTTAAGCATTGGGACACATTTCAGATTATAATTGTATTTGTTTTTTCCTCAACGACTTCGAAGCCTCGCAAAGCTATCGAACGAATTTTCATTCTTTTCAAAATAGCTCAAAGTGATTGAGTAAGGGAGTTTTCTATGTGGTAATCACCTTCTGACCAATCATCACCTTTCACGGCCAAAGATCACGTCTAAATATCACTCGCGTCGTCAAAACTAACGGGGCCATCGGGGGCCATCTGTTTATTGATAATGATTGCAAAAAGTAAAGAAAATCTTTCATGCCTGACAAATACAACGACGAAGTGAATAAACAAAGGCAAGATAGGTCAAGTCCTTCTCGTGTATTCACTGAAGTTCGTTATCACTACAAGTTCAACGCGAAGCGTTCAAATTTCCGAAAGTAGCCATGTATTGGGGCTTAAATTTTTACGGTCAATTGACGAGTTTCACTTTCTAAACGAACTCGAACTTATTCAGTTACCCAATTAGTTTTACAAACAATGCTTAAGATTGACACATTGTGGAAGTAGAAGGATTGCGGCTTCTGGCAAATATTTGATTATGTAGGAGGTTACCCAACCATGAAATGTTTGATCTAGTTTTGCATATGTTTGGATATTCGGGCATTAGCAGGAGCAAACAATCACTTGTCTTGGGGGTGAAATCAGAGCATTATTTATCAAAAGGATGGAAAATACTAATTAAGTGAGTCCCGGTACACAAGAAAAAATCCATTATGAATCAATTCTATCATAAGCCTACTCTAATCTATTCTTAATGGATTTATTTCGATGCTAGGCGGATGCTTCCAGTTAACTACCATCAATTCAAGTCACACCACGGGCATTTAGGTAAATAAATGTTTATATATACATCAAGCCAGTTCAATAGCCGGCTACAAAGTTAAAGTTTTATCTAAATGATAGTCGCAAAGCTACTGACGTGGAATTGACAAGATTTAATTGGTAAAACTATGCTCAGAAGCAATACGCTTGAGGTACGCTAAGGGAAATCGGAGTCACACTTGAAGCGCATTGTTAATTCACGTAAGCTTTTCATCTTTTACTTTCAGCATTGGCCAGTTTTAACACTCAAGAACGTGGGCTGTCTAGCAAAATAACTTTTTCTTCAAGTCCTCTAGGGTTTACGTCGGAGTATCAACCTGCGACACTTTTTTTGGTTCTGTCACTGCAATTTTATTACAAGCTCCATTGTTTAGACTTCTTTGCTATCCTTGTTTTGCGTCACGCGTGGTAGTAACTGGGTCTTACCTCAAAGATGAATATGCACATGAGCATGCGGTCAACGCACATACAATGAGCTCGAAACGGATTTCGAAAGTCACCTAATTAATAGGTGGGCTCCTTCACCGAACGCAACCATTAGTACCTCCTTCAGTTCTCGCTCTTCCATCTTATAGTTATCCTAATTATAGGACTGTTTCAGTAATTGGCACTGACCGAATTGGTCAACACCAATGGCGTAATTTCTTTTCTGGTGCAAGTTTCACAATACATACCGGTTCCATTTCCTCTGGGAGATAATTGTCGACTTGTGGCACCATTTTAGGCTGATGTTGATACAAGAAATGGTGGAGAAGTATTCTACCGAGAGACCACAGATCCTAACCAGCTTCAACAAGCTACTGATGACGTCTGAAGCATCTTTGTCATGATCACAGAAAATTTTGGGCCACGTGGTTATTAATAGCAATGTGGCACGAGGTGGCATACTATGGTGCACGCGGGGATAACAGAAGTAAATTAGGGCAAATTTAGATAAAAGTAAATGCCTTAGTCTTCTTTTTCGTTTAATAATAAGCACAAGATGAATTATCCTTTTGATATGTGACCCAGGTCGCCCCAGCAGTATGCTTATGCATAGAATATTACACTTGCCAAGTTATATTTCAATTTACGGACTTATTGAGCCAAAATCTTGTCCGAGCCACTGCACTTTATAATTTCTTGAAAATGTGCCTTTAGATTGTATCTCGATAGAAGACACATTTCGAGACGGTACCGTGCTAAAACGTTGCACTCAAGATGGGGGATTAAAAGGCTGTGGTCTGTTCTATCTTGTTTACATGGGGAGTGGAATGGCTCCAAGCCGAGTTGCCACGAGACAGGTCAGGATTTGTCAGTTATCACGTTTTTGCTCCCTTATTCTAAATTATCTGTTCACGACAGTAGTTCGTTATGGAGATAGATTACCTTTTTTAATGTTTGTTGGATCTCCCTGGTACTGAAATTTATGCTCTATCTGTCCGCGAAAGGTATTCTATTGTAGATCGTGGTAAATTAATCCATTACTGGAAGATAAAAGTAATCGCTTGGTCTTTTGATTGTGTTGGCAAGAAAACGACATTTAAAGAAAAAGCTGATCCAGGAGAGAAGTCTGGGAATGTCTTCGCCTTTAGTAATCCAACTTATAATAATGCGTGAAGCACTTGGTGGCCTACAAAAAAACTATCTGTTTTCTTGGCTTTTTGATTTGGCAAAATCGTTTGATTCAGTTTCACATCTTGAGTATTCCATTAGTGAATAAGATAAGATATCTCAGTAAAATAGCTGTTTTTTTTGCAACAAGAAAAATTAATTTCTTTGTTTTGAGTCATCGACTTCAGGAGCATAGCTAAAAAGAAATTTTTTCGGTTGCACAGACTGCCTAAAATGTTCCCCTTGCTTTAGGAGAATTTTGGCAATGGGTTTAATGTTGCGGATTCCTATTATTTTTGTGTGTGTTTCGCCGTTTCAATGTTTTGTGGTCCAACATAAACGACCTCTTAACCGTGAACTGCGCTTTAAGATTCTCATTTAAGCAGCAAAACCTTTATAGGTAAACGCAATTTATTCAACTTCGGTTACTTATAAAGTTCAACACAATCTACATATTAAGTACGTTTCCCTACATTTCTATCAACCCTACTGCCCATAGATCAGATAACAAGGCAACACGTACCCAAGCCTTCTCTCCAGGAGTTTCACTGGACAAAAAGTGCGAAATTTCAGCTTGTGGTAACTTATTTTACGGATGAGGAACAAGTCACAAAAATCTACGAGATTTTAATGTCTCCTGGCACGAAGATATCTTCACACACTATGTTGTCATTATTGTCTAATCGATTTGATCGCTTAAAAACGTGAGAAAATTCGTTAGCGTTTTACATATTGATGATAACATTGCACGTGTTGTCATTTTGATCACTGGCGCAATATTTTTCAGTATTGCGCGAGTGTTCAATGGCAAATTGGCCGAAATGTACGAGTCTGCTCTAAATAAATTAACTTTGAGTAGATAACTAGCATCCAATCGTTTTGTTAGCTTTTTAAAACTGGACTGATGGATTAAAATTTGAATGAACCATTTACAGACGAGGTTTTTATTCTGTATTTTTATTGTGAGAGATCTGAGTCTTGTGGAATCAATAAACGATTTCTTGTGACGTAGTCCGTTGTATCCAATGAAACCTTGCGAGCCCTATACCTTGGTATTACTGAACAACTTCCTTAAACTGCATCAGATCAACACACTGTTTCCCGTCGAGACGTTTTTAATCATTAATAATAATGAACCCGAGTAATTTTTTGCGACGGATGTTAAAATTATTTGCCAATACTTCTCGGTGAGAATTTGTGGATGAAAATAATGGATTAGTAAAAAAATCCCCTTTCATTTATAAGATCAAATTTCATCCGAAATTGAAAGCAAAGGGTTGACGAAAGACATATTTTCGTGCATCGTAATCAACTTGATATTGAGATCATTGCAAGCTTACTATACATATACGTCAATGAAAGAAACCGAAAAAAACTCACGAGGTCTTGTGTATGGTAATTTTACTTCGTTTCTGATGTCATCAATTTGAGGAATTGCAAACCGAAGACTGACTTGACTCACGATAAATTTAATTTGTTCAGAGATTAGGGAACCATAAATTGAGAGCAGATCTTCGATTCAACGGTGGGTATTCACATATATTTTCTGTTTATTCAGGCGTTCCCTAAACCACGGTTATGAAAGACTGAACATAAAACCATAAGAGATTTGTTAGCGGAGGCAGCCTGTGAAAGTTCCTTTCTTCATCCCTGTATCATTATATCCTTCATTCGCATGATACCAAAAAGACCGTCAATATGGACGATGGAAGATCTCACCATGCACGGCTCACTACTTTTATGATGAGAAAAGTGGTTGGAGATGATACGATCTGTGGTTCATATCGTCTTCTTGCTCGAAACTCTCGGCAAATGAACTAATCATCTTGCTTTCACTCTGTCTTAAAAAAAAATTATATAAAATTTCGGGTACTAAGAAATATTTCTTGAAATGCAATCACCACTACCGTGTTTTACACTGTAAAATTAAACAGAGTGCATGTTTAGCGGTCTTGACATGCGTTTCCATCATATCATATTTCATCAAAAGGGTATCGTCTAACCTTCCCTGAGTGCACGCTGCGAATAAGAGCCAAACACTTATAACTGCGTAACTCTTTTAATGATGGGAACTCTGGTTTAGGGCACAGGATTTGTGTGAACTTTGGATTAGGTTATACTTACTTTTAAATATCTAGTATAGTTTTGTTGCCGATCTTATGCCTCGCTCTTAAAAAAAACAGACCTCAAAAGTTGGATTATGCTAGATGTATGGTTTCTTCAACTGACATCAGTTTCCTCGCACCTCTGTCCACTACGGTGCTTCTACATCAGTAGTTGTACGCTCGCGTTAACAGTAAGAGGTGACCTGGTAGCGTTGTTCTCTCACAGCATTATCCGTTTGTTATATATTCAGTTATCGTTAATTTTCGTATAGGTGCGCAAGCCTATCATTCATCCCGATTTCTTTGCAGATGGTTGACGAACTACTACGAAAGTTTGCCCAAGAGAATTTCGGCCATGGATATTACACTGCCGTTCCTGGCGAAATTGAGAAAGTACAACCCCTGGTACTGGCGATAAAAAAGTATCCTCCAATATGGAAGCGACCTTTTAAAACATCTCAAATCATAGTCCTGGCGGGACTAGAAAAGTACTTAAAGAGTAAAGAGGAAGCTCTTGGGTTTCGTGATTACTTAAAATCTAAGATCAAAGAAGAAACATTTCAGTCGAAACAAAAAATTGACAAAGGATCCAGGTATAAGAGCGCTGTTAGCTTCTCTTTGTAAACTGGAAATGTATGTGAATAGTGAAGAGAAAAAAGAAAATTCTCACATTTAAAAAAAATGGAAAGAGAAAACAAGAGCTGTAAAACAGAAACACGACTATGTGTTCTATGACAAAAGGATTTGGATGTGACTGTCTCCTTAGTTTTTTTCAATATATATTACTTATGAATAATTCTCAAATCATAGCAATCACGTTCCAGAATTCCTGTTTTGCCTACATCATTATTGTTGTTATGGTTATCGTTATTGTTATCATTATTATTATTCTCATTATTATTATGATAATTATCAAAATTACTATTAACTTTCTTTTGTCATTATTATTAATATTATCTTTGTTATTATCATCATTGTTATTTTTTTTTTGTTTTGTGCATTGCAGGACTAAGGAACTGGATGCAAGCTTCGTAGGACATCTGGAGGGAACTATACGGTTAAACGATGATCAAGGAGTTCTAGAGCTGGGTAACCTGAGTCAGAAATATATTGACGATCCAGATCTCCGTGAAATTCTGGCGAAAACGGCCTTAGATGCCAAAATAAAGCATAGTTTTACGGATGGCGATAAACTTCTTCTTATAACAGAGGTGATTTACAGTGGGAAGTTCGAAATGAAAAGAGGGAAACAATGGAAGGTATCAATTAATAAAGCTATGATGAAATGACTGAGAATATAGGAAAATCATATATGTGAATTTCGGATGAAGAAATGAATATGGGTGAGATCTTTTCAGTAATAAACACAACTTAAGTAGTAGTGAAAATAAAGCCTGAAAAAAAATTCAGGCCTTATTTTCACTACTGCTTAAGTAGTGCTCACCACTGCGAAGATCGTTCTCGTATTCAAAGCTGTAATTGTATCTTAACTTCTTTTAAACACGGAAAAAAAGGCTCACAAGTAACTGCGCAAATCGAATGATTAGTCTATCCGTTGTTTCCGTCTCTGAATATCTTATCGTATTCACTCAGAAACGTACTGGAAGAGAGAACCATTCTCTCATTAAATAGGATGGTGGGCTATAGATGGGGTTTGGCCCCGGTGATCTGATAGTGAGATGACCGGCCTAAGAGTCTTGGCTATTAGCTTGGCCGGAATGGCATCTGACTCTCATAGGGCTCCCATCACTTAGCGTAAATGGAACCGTTGAATCCTCAGTAATGAACGCCAGAGGATGAACTACGGTTCACTGGCATCCCCCAGGCAGTGTGCGGACTCCGATTGCGTTGCATTATGGTAGCTTCATTTTCAATATGGCGGTGAAAGCAGCAGAAATTGGCAGATTTTGACCGAACATTCCGTAAAAGTTAGGCCCTTCTTTTTTCCTTTCACCACAGGTAAATGTAATTTTATTTATTCTGAGTGAGTAAAAGTATTTTTTGTACGTATTCGTCGCGTATTCTACGGTTCTCAAGGACAAACGCAATTACTGTTTTTTAGTATGTAATTTGAGACCGGCTTTCGAGAAGGTTAAACTTGATGTACGTCTTAGTTTGGAGCCTTTCAAAGATTTGGATGGCCGCTTTGATCCTTCTCCAACAGCTCTGACCAAGCGCTCTCAAACGCTCTCCTACAGTACATGTGTTTCTCGCATTTTATGTGCTAGTGTTCGAAACCGATTGTGGCCGAGGAAAGGCCTATTGTGGCGTTACACAGCGCTGCTATTGTATACTGAGTTGTGTTGTAAATCTAATCTGTAAATCCTAAGTAAAAGGAAATTAACTAATGGCGAGTGTTGTATGGTAAATCTACCATCTTGATCATGGAATGAAGAACAGTTGAATTAGAGCAATGAAAGGAGTCACTTGACCAATGAATAAGCTTAGCTGTTATAAGGATATCTTTTAATGACTTTCGTTTGCGATGTGATAATAGGGGTTAATTTTAAGGTGTCATTTCCCCATCTGTATGTTCTTGAGGTTTGGCAAAGCCGGATGAGATTGTATTACAAAAAGTAATATTTTCATGTGTGCACGTTATTTTTTTTCTGTTTTCAAGTTTACTGTCTCTTCCGCAGAAAATAACTCCAGAGATACGTTTCTCAAAACCTTATTCCAGGTATTCTCTATTCTTTAAGCATTAAACGTTGAGCGTGACGAATTTGGTTCAAGGAGGCGTAAGGCTTCTTTCGCGAATCCCGTATTTACGCCTTTAACTGTATGACATGAAAAATAGCTCGTGTATCAGAAGGTCGCTGTCTCTTTGTAATGCGTTTGCATGTCAAGGGTCGATTCCCCGTTTTGATATTATTCACACAGCCATCGGCTCTGAGTGTAACTGCTGCCAAATGAATAGATTCTTGGGCAAGGGTGCAGTTTCGATTCTTTCTGAATCTCTTCAGTTGTCTCCAAACAATGAATTTGTCTCAGAGGAATAACAGGAGTCGCGCTGGCCCGCAAACACTTTTTAACTTTCGAAGGAACGGCAACAGACAGTGAATTCCCGTTACATTCCACGTTTATTCGCGCTATCTCGCAGCCACCATGCAAATGACTCGTCTTTCGTTTTACGACCATGATGCAACGCAATCAGAGTGCGCACACCGCCTGGGCATCCCCTGAATAAAGCCAGGCAATACTCCTGATGCGCTTCATGTTCCGTAAACCACCGGGGGGTGTATTACGGTCAGATGATCCCCGAGGCTTGAAACCTGACCTCAATGTTATCCTTTATTAGAGAACGCCCCGAGGGAAATTCCGTTATAAAATCTAAGTCACGTTCTTGGTTACCTAATTTGCAATTTTTTTTATTTTATTTACCAGATCCAGGCTGAACTTAAACTGCCAGAACCTTCAGCAACTCCAAACCATTCTGCGAAAAGACACTACAGGGTCACAAGTTATTTTGGAGAGATGCCGTCCAGGGACTTCAAGGCACCGATATTATTTAGGTGCTGCAATGTTAAATACATCAAAGAAGAAAACCGACTGGAAATCCCGAAGGGAGAATTTGTCGGTAGATCAGTGCTCTAGGAAATGTCAGGCGACGGATTTCACGAGCCCAGGGAGACTGAGACATATGCTTACTTTTAATGGAAAGGATGCGAAATTATTAGTCCACGTGCTTTTGATATGTATTTTTCACCCTCTATCTTTAGAGGCCCTTGACAAATGCGTAAGCTGCAGTCGTCAACGGGTAAATTATTGACTAAAGTGCGAATTCGAACCTTAGTTTTTAGTGCCTGATTTTTACAGTTTCTGTAAACATATATAATATATATGCTAAACGTTTCCCAATCAAGTGTAAAATTATGACCTCAATAAACAAAGTAGATAACTTGATAACATCAATTGACTACTCCAGAACGGGTCTTTTCGCGGGCAAAAAAAAGAAACGCGAAACAAAAAGCTGTAAACAAACGTAGTATTTAAAAATTTTTAACAGGCCAGAGACTAGAGACAAAGGACAGCCAAGGAGTTGAACTTTAAAGGAAACGAGAACAAATCCAGAGGGCACCTCACCTTACCGAGGTTACCCCATCCTCGCCTGACCCAAGGAAGTTAACGCTCGTTAACTACACGCTTGGATGCTTTATTTGAATCCATAGTCCATTGTCTATATCGCGGTCAACCCCCAGTTAATATTTTTGTCTGTTGAGTATCATGTCTCAACAAACTAATCAGCCACTTTATAAGTAATGACTATTAAAGGCTCTCACCGTATCTGTCCCTGCCTGATGATGATAAACAATTTTGATTATACAAATAAATCTGAATGGCCTGAGGGAGAATTTCTCAAGTGGCACATAAGTCACGATGAAAATAATTATTAAAAAAGGGCGAGCAGCAACAAAAAGAAGATCGCAGATAATTAAAGATATTAGCTTTGTTGCTTGTATAATAGCTCATCTTACTCTAGTACGTTTTCGTAAGTGTCTATTTCATCTCATTTGATGACAAAATATTGCTATCCATAACAGCGTTTGCTCTCAAATGTACACATTACTTCATACAGTTTGATGACGAGACTATCTTCTGCATTAAAACAACTGCTTTCATAGGAAACGAAACGTATTTGTAAAAGATGCTTTCTTGAAAAACACCCCTCTTGAAAACTATTAAAGGGGCAGAATTGGAGATGGCGTTGCTCTCTCTCTCACAGTAGGTACAGTACGACCGTACAAGGTGCTACTTTTAACATGCGTGGTCAACTGTACCGCGGGTACGCCAACGCCACGGCTTTTTCCAGTAGTCCAGTGGTCAGTGCGATGGACTTAGTCCAGTGGTCAGTGCACTTTAGGCTTGGCTAAATCTATATGTTATCATGTTATGTAATAACTACTTATAAACTTACCACTTAAAGTCTACTTTATTTATTGATGTTATTAATATTAGAGATCAGCTGATAAGATGTTTATTTAGAGTTTGTTTGAAACTGGCAAATTTTGCATCCCTGTTGAAAGACTTTCTAACTTGTAACCAAACTAACTGCAAGTGACAATCTTCATACCAGCAATAGAAAATGTTATGCATAACATGAAAACTGTAACACTGAGAAGCAAATTTCAAAGCGTTAATTTCAAAGTGTTCGAAAAGTTCATTTCAAAGTTTTCAAAGTGTTTATTTCAAAGCATTCCAAGTGTTCATTTCAAATCGTTCACATCTCTTATACTAACCAACATTAAAAAAAACAACAACAACAGGCTTACTCCTCTTTCATTACATTAGTGAACTCCTCAAACAGTGCTAGGTATAATTCATATATAGATGGAAGCTCTAGCAATGGTCCACATGTTCTGGCAGTAGGACGTCCCTGCAACCCCCCAGGGTAGAAAAGAGCACATCAATTTTTTGTACAGTGACCACATCACTACCAATATAAAACCATAGGATTTGCCTCTTAGTGACTTTAAAAACCGCTCCAGATTAAATGGTAAGATTATGAAAATTGCGAACTGTTTCGACCGAACGTCGGTCAACGTGCACAATCGATATCTTGCATTTCGCTGGATTCGTTCTATTACAAAAATCACACACCACGTTCTTAGGAAATCAGATGCAAAACTTCTGTTGTCGCGTTTTGATCACTTGCATATTCCTGCGCTTCATACAGGTTGTTTGTTTCGATTTTGAGTTCCCACCGGGTCCTCGCAAAATTTCAGAAAAAATTTCAGGCGCGTGTTGGCTGTCCCGTAAATGTATGATAGTAAAGTTTTGACGCTGGGTGCCATAATTTTGTCTAAATAGGTGGAAATAAGTTCAGTGGGACAACTACATAGAAAGAGGTGGCAGAAAACGACATAGAAAGAGGTGGCAGAAAATTTCCGCAAACATTGGTGAAACAGGAAGACGACTAGAAGACTGATTCCGCGAACACCTTCGCGACGTAGAAAGAAATGATAAGGACGCATTCGAACCAGCCGTTAGAAACTTAAATCTCCCTAATCATTCTTAGCAACATATGGCAGTTTGCAGCCTCTCCCTTGATATGGGCAGTTCGGAAAGTCGCAAAACTCTAGAACAAAAATTTATCTTTCAAATCGGCACTCTTAATCCCCACGGTAACAACTAGCGCTTTTCATTCAACTAAATTATTCTTGTTTTCTCGTCACCATATTCCCACCTAAAGCGTAGCTCCATTTTCTTTCTATAAACCCACACACAACCCACAATTTCTCTATTCGCTCTGACGAATGGCTAACGGTCAAAACGTCAGCTTTGAAACTCTTTACAGTGGCCAATTTACGTTATCAACTCAGTTGATAATACTAAATGACCATATAAAAAGTAAAAGGTTGATCGTATAAAATGTCGAACTGACCATATAAAACAGTAAAATGTTGATCATATGGAAAGCCGAGTTGATCATACAAAAAGTCGAATTGACCATAAACATTTAACTGGGTCGCAGACATACAGAGGGAATATTGCTGGTTGGCGCCTGATACTGTTTCCCTGCCGTGGCATAGAATTGACTGTTGAGCCAGCAAATAACATTAACTCGCGCAAGAATGGAGTGTTTTCTTTTGCTTGCGATCTTGACCTATTTGTCCTGTTGAAAGTACCAATTCGTCTAATGTTTGTCATTCGTCTAAAAATGCGAGGAACTTGCAGAACTTGCATTGTGATTGAGGCTCGAGCTTGGATTACGTTGTCTACCATGCGAGTGTCCAAGACAGAGATACTTCAGCATTACCGCATTAACATTTGATTGAGTTGGCTAAAACATTTGTTCAGATAATACTCGAACTTCTTCAAGAAGTTGACGCACGCAGTTGTTGTCGTGATTGCTGCGCCATTTTGCTCGACTCCAGTGAACGAAGACGCCCCGGGGATGAGAGAACTTCCCGCCAAAATACACTCCATTGACTAGCTGTTGCTTACCGGCCCAAAAAAAGTAATCGATAATCTCGGATAGTGATTTCTTTTTCTCACACAGAAATTTCTCATTCTCAGCAGTTAATATTTATTTCTCGGTATATTGCTACATCAGTCTTTTTCTTAATTAATGTTTTTTCTTTCTCGATAGGTAATTTAAAATCTTGCATGACATTCTCGTACAGTGATTTATATTTCTCATATAGTGATTTCCCAATCTCACCTATCAATCATTGAAACTCGATAGGTAATTTTGAACTCAACTCACTTTTGTCATGTTTGGCTTGTTGTAGTATTTTGGCTTGCCATGAAGAGAGAAAAAACAAACAAAAACCGGTGATACAATGAGCCTCCCCTATTCAAACACCAGCAGTAAGATCTTTTTTAGGTACACAAAGATTGCAATCATAAACAAAACAAGCACGTAACGTCAAAAAATAGTTGATCACACATTTCACAGCCGTTTACATAATTTTCAAATGCATTTATCGTCCCAAAAATTCGATACAATTTTTGGATACAAATTTCAACCACGTTTTACCGTTATGAGGAAATCGCCTTTGAGACGGTGAAAAAATTCGGGAATTTTCCGAGGAATCTTCGCTATTTGTTGCCGTGCGTGTTTTTTCTTTGTAGCAGTGCTGGGCTTACATGCGTGTGCCTCCGCGAATATATGTCCATTTGCAGATTAAGGAGCACGATGTATGTAATTCTTCTAAGGAACATATTCTAAGATAATGATTGCCAAACTCGGGGCACTGACTAAATATACAATTAGCACTCGGTACCTTATCTAACTCGACGAGCTATTTAGATGCTGTTTTCTGACAAACAGTTTTCAAGGCTTTTTGACGTTGTTATTATGAGCAAGATACAAGAAGCTTAATCTTATCATTAACATCTTTACTGGAATGATGTAGTGAGGAACATGCCTATATCGGATTGAACTAGTCCCCTTCCACCAGACAGATTGGACTGAATTGAGGAGCTCAAGGAGTGACGTCAACTTGAATCCCAAATAGCCTAGAATCCTACATCATAATGACGTGCATGAAGCGTCAAACAGCTTAGTTTGTTAAGGACCTCTGAAAATTTACGACAGCCCGATAAATATTAGATAATCACGAAGAAATTAAATTTAAATCACCTCCATGGCCGAAAGTGTTTTTTGTAGTTACTAATCTTACGTTTTTTTTCTCACGATTCGTTTTTTAGTTGCTTTTATTCCTTTGATTTTTTTTTTCGATCTAGTTTGGGAATTGGCGATGTGCTTGGACAGCATCACTGCAATCACGTTAATCAAGGACGTACATACCTGTTTTCATAGCAATGAAATATCATGAAAGCGCGTTCATACACGCTCTAAACTTGAAGTAAGCACTTTAAGTAAGCCCATATCTACATTATGGAATGACGGTTATTCCACTCATTCGGTAAACATGACTGAAACGATTATAATGACTTGAATCATGTTTGTCTGAAAGCGTTGTTTTGTGTCGGTTTCAAAATCCACATAACTTAGTTTCAAGAAGAAACATGAAGGAAAGAGGCAAAAGCAAGGTCATGTAGTTGAAGACATGGCATATTAGGAACATTAGAGGATATCTAGAATGCCAAATAAACACTAAAAAAGTAAATCCTTTGCTTGGCTCTATTTCAAGACGTTTGTTACAAATCAGGCTCACTTCCTACAGAACATCACATCACATAAACAGCGCTTTTGCGCTTCATTGACCAAGCGTGATTCCGGAAATCAAAGTATTACAAGTGATTTGATACTTATACATGTCATCAAGGTTAAACTTATCGTATTAACCTTATATAATTTTTCTCTTGAGAACGATAGTTTGATGTTTTCATTATTTATCAAGATGTTAAACCTGAATGCACTGAACCTCACGCTTTCAAAAGCTAATTCATACTCAAAAGTTGCTTGAAGTTTTAGCAAAGCAGTAATGTTACATCATAAAGATTCGAGGCAAGATATGCAATGAAAAATGCTGATATCTCAAAAAGCTGGTGTTGTTCAGATAATAGCACTCTTGATATTACGATATTGTGATCTTGGAGCTAATACTTGTGTCCATGTGTAAGTGGACATTACTGTTAGAAAGCGTACGGCCTTTACTGAAACAAAATAGTTTCTAAAGAAACTTTGGTGCTGCGTCGGTGGGAGAGTAAGGAATTGCAGAGCTGACATTTCGAGCGTTAGCCCTCCATCAGAGCGAAACCAAAAGGGCTAACGCTCGAAACGTTAGCTTTGAAACTCTTCACAGTGGCCAATTTATGTTATCAACTCAGTTGATAAAACCAAATGACCCTGTTAAGGCAAAGATATATGAACTTTACATTCACATTTGATGTACAATAAAGCCAAAAGATTGGCTTAAATTTTATTGGCTATATATCAGAAGTAACATAGTATTCGTGACGATACTAAAGCGGAGCGAACATGCCTATTTAGACCATTACTTGAAGCATATGCTGCATTGCTATATGTAATATCTTATTTAGAACTATCCATCTCAGTTGCCTCTTGGATATAGATTTCACTGCGGCCTTTTCCACGTCTCACTTTGAGAAAACAAATGACTCCAATGATCGCTATGACGACAAAAATGGCCGCTCCTGCAGTAGCAGCTGCGATGACATACCCTGGTGTGCCATACGATGCTTTTCCTGAAAAGGAAGACAGCTTTATAAAACGATAGTTAAGGAAGACAGCTTTATAAAACGATAGTTAAGGGAACTACATGACAGTTTTAGAATAATGTTGGAAGCTTGCCATCTGCAATCCGTGTAAAACTGCTCCTTCTTAATCTTCCACGTTCCTTTCTTTCCACCCTTTTTTTGCCTACTGCCCTCAGAAAAATATCATTTTAAGACATAATGCTGGTTTAAGGACATTGCCTAGTGGTTTAACACAAAATAGGCGCAGATATTTGGCGACTTACGTATGACTTTCCCTTTCCCCATAGAGAGCGAAGATTAACATGAGTAACGAGTTTGTGTTGCAGATTTGTGATATTTTGTGTTTTCAGATTAAAATGTTATGGTTTTTCGATGATCAAATTTTCTACTTGAACCATTTTAAGGGACTTTCTTTTTTCATCAAGCAGAACCTTGACGAGGAAGTGAAAGTTACGTTCTCTTCTTGCAATACTCTTTTAGTTACAGCAGAGTCTAACTACATAGTAGTTAGGCATATCTCACTGAATTCATAAAAATCTCAGATGGGGCTACATACAAACTGCTTCGAAGAACTGAGGTAACAGAAAATCTATGAAAAAAAGTTTTTGGACTTGATTGAGATATGGCCTTATATTTTTTGGCACGCTCATTTTTGCGAATCAGCCTCAATCTGAAGTCGAAAAATCTGTTGAAATTAAATGCCGAAAAAGTTTCATGCAGCAATCAGCCTAGTTAGGTGACCCGGCATGACTGAAGCTGTTTCGCCGGAACCCAGAAGTATCACATGGCTTCTCCAGAGCTAAACCTTCTTCATGTCGGATTGACCTAAGATATATTGTCCCAGTTGGGGATTGTAGATTGGAATGCCATAAATCACTCGTAGGTTTGGAGGTGTTTCAAAGGAGAGGAGTTTAACTTGTGGGATTCATTCATCGTTATTGAAAATCACTTTACCAGGCAGACAGCTCGGAGTTGAGCCGTTCCACTGTCCCTGCAAACAAGATATGACAGACGAGCCATGCAGGAAGAAACCAGAGTTACACTGGAATCGGTAGATGATTCTGCCATCTTGAGTATCGTTCCTCACAACGTTACCATTGCCAATTTTGTTCTCCATGGGAATACATCCTGTTAGGAAATATCGGTTTCAGCAATGTGATTGTGTTAATACTGAACCAAAATGCTTTTATATGATTGGTTCCAAACAGCCTTTATCAATGGCTTAATTAGCTGTTCCACAAGCAAAGTTTCTAATTTACCTGTTTGGTTAATGCCAACTAAAAATCGGACAGGTGAAATCACACCGTTCAAAACGATAAGGAATTAAACAACTATAAAGATTTTACTGCCGAGTTCAGTGCTAACCCAACAAAATTGGGAAAAATCTAAATTGAAGATGCTTTCGTAATTCGTCATTTCGCACATTATCCTCATTATTGTCATCGGTATTGCCATAGATATCATAATCATTATCTTTATATCACTGCTATGACAAAACAGTCATGATCCTCCTTTCACGCCCAAACTCACCGGGTGTCTCAAGGTCATTGGTAAGTGAAAAGAAGTATCCCACAGCTTTCTTTGCTGCCTGGCCAATGCTGACCTTTCCAGTAGCCTTGATGTCAAACAGACATTGCTTATTATCACCGCATACTTCATATGCCAGGTGACCCAAGGTTGCGTTGTCAAACACCATGTTATCTGGATCCATAAATGTCGGCACGTACTGTTTATCGAAATAAGACGCATGGTTCTTGCCTTCCTCGTAGGTGAATAGAGAATTATCTGCGTTCGTTGCCCCTGGGAGGAAAGAATTTCATCCGTTATTCAATTTTCGAGATCTTTGAAGATATAACCTCAAATTGATAGACTTTCATTCACAACTTGGTCGTGCTAGACGTGTGAATGTTTTTTTTTTTTCAAGTTTTTGCCATTGCTGCTAAATATTAGGAAACCATTTTCACTGTATGGAAAAAATACAGCGATGAAAAAAAACAATGCAAAAAACAGTGTAGTGTTCATTGCTGCAAAGATCATTCTCATCTTCATTTATTTATCCGCAGTTCAAATTTATGATAATCCTTTAAAATCACGCTCGCTCATTATGAGCTCCAAAATCTGCATAGAAAATAGCAGGTTTTCAGTTAATTATCAATTGGTTTTAGAACGAGACAACTTATGAAAACCTCTCATAGATAGTCCGGGGTCCTCTTGCCAAGGTAAATTATCGAGCAAGGAGGCTGAGAAGGTATATTTATACCACCTCACGTAAGCAAAAGTAACTACACAATACTGCAGAAAAATTTGTGATTGCAGTCCATTGGGTTACAACAATTGAAACAGTTTATGCAGAAAAAAATTGGAAAAATTTGAGGTCAATCGAACAGTAAAGTTAGAAAAGATATCTAAATATAAATATTCCTCGTTGAAATATACAATTTATGGTAACTGACTGCATCCGCTAAGCACTATATTCATATGTGTGTGTCAACTCACGAACCTCAAGCCCAGCAAGAAGTATACACACATACAGCACTTGTAAAATTAACTTGATCTTCTGCGTGACATCATTATTATTACTGAGTAACTTTATTATATGCATAGTGACACTGACGCCGCCTAATACTTACACAATTGACCAAACTCGTAATGAATTCTGGAATGGGTAGAATTATGGCTAAGACTTGCTCCGCTGGGAAGCAGAAAATCGTTTTCTTGATTTCCGTCCCAGAATCCTAAAAGGCCTCTGGTATGTTCTAAAGGAAATCGAAGAAAAGAGAATATAAAGTAAACCATATGCGGTGAACTGTGGTCGAGTAAAACAAACTCCTCCAACGTATTATCAGTAACTATTGACGTCAAGCGCTGATAGTAAGGATGAAAAGTGCAAAATGTTGTTTGCGAGCAGGATTGGTGTATTTACCACCAATTTGGGAGAAATTTCACAAGTTAATGTGGAAATACAGGCGGTTGTGGTTTGCAAAGCTTTAAAATTCGAGTTTTAAGCATGCCAAAGGTTTAGTTCTCCACAGGGGAATAACAATCAACCTAAAAAACCATGCAAAAAATACCTTTAAACTCTGGTGGCACCAGTAGCATAAACTGTAAAAGATCCTCCACCCTCTCAATTGTGACGGATAGTCCAGAGTTAAATATGAAGGAGTATTTAGATGTGTTGTTGTACTTTATTACTGTGGCGCCTTGAAAATCCATCATAAACTGTTCATCGAATTCCACCAGAGCGCTATTAACCAAAATTTCTATCTCGCGGCGGCCATTAATGTGTATCTGAAAAAAAAGGGTAATAGAAAAGGTAATAAACATACAATAACAATAGCTATGGTAATTATCGTGAGCAGTGATCAAGCTAAGGTACACCGCACACCGCATTCTAAAAAGTTCTTGAAGGAAAGGGCTACTGTTCTTTGCTATATAAAAACGATCCTTTCGCGACCATTGGTTAAACTCAGCGTCATGCATATATATTTCCTTTTTTTTCATGACAACAATATGTTCCAAAAGATTATCAACACTTAAGCGGATAAAAAAGGACATTTATTTTTACCTTTTGGTATATAAATTAAAACGGGTGACTAGTATTAGCAATGGCTTGTGTGTGTCTCCAAAGGGATGTAAAATAGATTGAGTATAATCTGTAGCGACAAGTAGAGAAAGGAGATTACTGTTAAGGGCTTATAGTCTCATTGGCTAATGCTGTAAACCTCGTCTCTTCTTGATAGGTCGATAAACCTTAGGCGTGTGTAATGAAATGCCTGTTGCGAATACCTCATTTGAATGATTTACGGGTGATGGCATCTTTAACGTTATCACTAATCGGTGAAATAACATTTTACGATTCGTTGCTAAAGATACTCTACCTGTACAACATCAGAACCATTTTCTTTCATTGCAAACGCTTTGAATACTGTACCACTAGTACTGCTGCCATTATCATCGATTAAAGGTTGCATTCGTCCCTGAAGCTCAAAGTCAATAGGAGGTATCTGGAGGACATGATACTCGCCATAACCATTGAAAGTGTACTCAAAACCGTCGAGCGTAATCATGTGAGGATCTGTTATTCCAGTTGCTAAATAAAAACAGGACAAATAATGAATTATTTTAACAATCATTTAGCATTACATTAATATGTTTTTTTAATTATGTAGAGTTGATGACAAATAAATTTTGACCAAACTGAATGAAATAGACATAGAGTTAACACTGACTGACGAAGGAATCGACTGAGCAATCCCAGTTACGCGCGCGGAAAAACTATACATTTCATGACTCGAAAAATTTCAGGACCAATTAGAAGCAAGCATTCCCAGTCAAAAATAATCTCAAAGGTCAAGTTCTTTCTAAACTATAGGTTTATTACCAGGCCTAGGAGGTACGTAGCGGGAACCATCATCTGAAGGTCTTTTCTCAAAGTAACGTTCACAGTTGTCAGAGAGCAGGCAGCAATCCAAATAAGGAACAAGATCTTGAAAGAAATGTGACAAGGCTGGCACTCCAGCCTCAATATGGTATCGATCAAGGGATCCTCCATTTTGTGGACCGATCATCAAATTTCCTGGTCTAGAGTAGCAGCATTGCTGTCCAGCACCTTGCTCACTGAAAATAAAAATAATTGAGGACGAACTACTTAGCTATGCAAAGGCAAAGATTGCCCCTTGTGGTTGCATAAAATAATGCAAAGGCACGCAAATTTAAAAAAAAATTTCATAACAGTATCACGCCTGGGCGCAAAATACCTCGGAATGTTTGCCCTGAAGCAATGAGAGGCTCCAAAATGATAAAGAACACATTGGTACGGATCGGCTGTAGGATTGCAGTATTCGTCCAAGGTAAATCGGCCGCGGTCTGCTTGTGCTTGAAGAAACGTTTGTGGACAAGGAAGGAGGGAGGCATCATCTGTTATGACAAAGAATCACAGAGAGAGCATCAACGACTGAAATCGAATTATGTAGCTTGTGTTTTCTGTGCTTTTCATTCTCCATCGTTAGTATTGGGTGTATCTGAAGGCAGAGTTGCGGTTGCTCCTTTACTGTGCAACCCCCCCCCAACCCTGACAAAAAATAAATCATCCAGGTCATATTTCGAACAATATGGCTATCGGAACTCTCCTCTTCCATTAAGATGCATGCTTTTGTATGATGTTTTTAACGTGGATAAGCATCTTCCCGGGAATGGGGAATACATTAAGTATGGGAAAAATACATCAAAAAGAACATTTTTGAAACATTTCCTATTAATAATAATATCATTCAGGTGACTCGTGACAATTTACTGAACCATGTCTGCCGTTTTGTAAAGGTTGAAATATTTATACCTGTATATATTTGGGGATCGGGCTGCCTATCGTGCCAAAACATGCATCTCTGCTCGGCCAGTCCATAGTTAAACCAGTAAAACATATCGCTCCAGATCCACTCGGCCGGTGAATTGCTGAAGTTGCCAGATATCTTTTTGACCAACACCAATGTAACAAAATGGCTATCCCCAACTGCTGCTCTGAGGATTTGAGTAAACGAAACGTTACAGTCTAATCAGTTATAAGCAGCACGTTCAGTCACTTCGGTCTAGTAGGTTGAGGGGTATTTGGAGAAAGCAGTTGTTGTGATGTTATGATTCCCATTTTTCGTGTTCTTCCATGGAAAATAATTTACAATTTAGCTGAAGAATCGGAAGAAAACTACTAACTGTTTTTTTCCACTACTTCGAGTGGAAAGCTGCCGACTGATGTCACTTACAAAACAGGCAAAGATATACGAAAACGATGCTCCTTTCTCAAAATTTAAATTCCTGTTTATATTCTCTTTCCCTTTTAATAACAGTGAATGATCTTGAAACTTGGGTAAAACGACTCAAAGTATTGAAAACGGTAAAATCAAAACACAAGATGTACACAAACATACTAAGCAGACTAGCGTCATTCGGACGCCAAAGTTTTTGCTTACCCCTGTCCCTCTCCTTCTGGGACAGTAAATTGACTTTCTCCAGTATTCTTTTGTTCTTCTTTTAAAGAAAACATGCTATGAAAGTAGACATCATCATCCTTTATTGAGAAACGCGCCAAAAGAACAGCCACCGAAAGGGTGTCAACTCCGAGGTGCCCTGGATCCCAGTTGATCTTGACAGGAACATTTTCACTCCAGGAACTTGGAACCAGCCGATCAACACGAGGGGGAACCCTTTTGATGTTCACTATGGAGAGTGAGAACCAGTTAAAGTTAATGTTCACTTTAATATACGCATGAAACCATAACCATTCATGGAGTATATTTCTTTAAGTAGTTTCGTCCCTTATACATCCATGACTTGTCAGATATTTGTTAAAATAAACTGAAAAAATAATACTGAGGCAACAAAAGATTAAAAGATTTGAAAAAAGAAGTTTACTTTACCAACAGTTAAAATCCCTCGAAAATCGAAACTTTTTCCACCGTTGATCGACATTTTGATTGTCAATCTCCCAGTTACATTCAGCATAGGCACGGTACAAGATGACTGTATGTTGTTTATGTAGGTTCCATTACTCAATTTTCCTCCAGGGAATTCACAAACGATCAGATTTGATGGTTCGTAGCAAGGCCCACCGACAAATATGTTATCGCCACCAAGCATCATCACAGAGTGAGGTGACGCGACAAGAGATCCTGCAAACAGCGAAATTTAGACCATGAGTTCTGTACAGTGTAGCATGTCCTTCTAGTTATATAGAGCTCGTGAAGTCCACGTAATTATTATTTTCCAATTTTATGCTGATATTTTTGGTGTACAGCACAACCATACAAGGTAGCTCTTTTACTCGTTACTCTGCAGCCTTTCTATCACCTACCAACAGCTTGCACGATCCCTCAATCACCTGATAAATTATGCTTCGTTATGCTTCTCTTAGAATTTCGGCGCGATTTTTTAAGCTGCGCAAACCCTGACTCAAACCTTTTTTTTTTACATACCCAATATACATATCATCAATAGGTATGCTGTTACCTTTTGTGTTGCAGCCACCTGCCTCGATCTTTGCGCTGTCAATACGGAACATCCATCGCCCAGGCTTTCCTACATTAGAATTTGAGCTAACATTGATAATCCTATCTGTGGCTGATCCCGGTACGTTAAAATATCTTATACCGTCCCCAGCATTGAAGCCTGCCTGTTTAACAGATCGAAAAGAGCACGGATCGGTGAAGAGAATAGGTGAAACAACTATTTTTCACCTGATGAAACCCTCTCCGAAATAAAAAAAAAAGGAAGAATCCACTTTAAAAAGGGTGTATATAGGTCCAACGCGCAGTTGCTTTAAATTACATGTCACTGCTGTTGCACTGCATCGTTTATGATCAACTGATTCAAGATACCTGTGCTGGAGAACCTCCAAGCCCGCTTACATTCCCTCCACTGGCAGTACCTGTTGTCCATGTGATATTGTTGTAATTATAAATTACAAATGAGTGTTTACCATTGGTTATGAGAACCGCCTGAAAAGTGTTTGTCTGGTGAAAAGAAACAGAAACTATAATGAAGACATAGTGATCGGCAATACTGGACTCTACTTCTATCCATTGGGTAGAGTAGAGGCAGGCAGACAAACAGATGAACAAAAGAACAGGCAAAAGCATATCAGTTCGTTGAGAATGCCTATCTTGAATTTTTAATTTAAACCAAACGAGTGTTCTTTAGAGCCTCTCTACACCAATGAGTATACATAGGAGTATCATGCACTGAGCTGTCGCATGGGTAGGGGGGGTGGGGTGGGGGGAGGATGGTGTGGAATAATGAACTAGTATTTCATTCAGGTTGAGTATGAACATTCATTTTTCTTCTTCAAATAACGGAACCTGGAACATTTGCTTTTTAAGCTATGCGAGTTATTTTTTTTAGTTTTTACGGATTTCACCTTTTTTGTATAATTCCCACTGGCACCAAAGAAAGCCACTTTATACCATGTTGCAACTAGCAACCACGTGGCCCGAAATTTCCTTTGACCCACATAGACGCTTCTGACGTCATCAGTGGCCTGTTGAAGTAGGTTAGGATCTTCTGTCTCTCGGTAGAATACCTCTCCTCCATTATTTGTATCAACATCAGCCCAAAATGGCGCCACCAGGCGACGATTGCCATCCAGAGGGAAAGTATCTGGTGTGTATTGTGAAACTTGGACAAGAAACGAAATTACGCCATTGGTGTTGACCTAAGGGTCACAAGTTTGGTTATTACTACTAACTGAAACAATCCGGTTCCTACAGTCTGTTCAGAGTAACTCAAAGTCAGGAAAGGGGAAAATAGGCTATGCATCCACAACGTATATCATGATTATCTATGGCGAGCCATGCTATGCTCAAGGAAATGGCTAACTTGGTTGTGTCTGCATTATTTCATCAAACAGTGGAAGCTCTCCCTTTAGCACCCGGACCCTGTAGGGTCAGTTTATTGGATTTTGAAAATATTTGGTGTTTGCTCCCTCAATTTAGCCTATGATGACACTGATTAATGTGGAGACCTCACCGACTCCTGAACCAATCCGATATATACATGCTCACGGCTTTCGTCTCTCACTTCAAACATATAACATAGCATTTCTGTTGTAGCCACATTAGGTTCTAATGATAGTTTCTTTTGCCTGCTTGGCCGTTAAGACAACGCGTTTAAGTCTCAGAAATGAAAGTTTCTTCGGTGAAAGGCCCTTCTCTATGTGGGTCATATACAAATGAGAAAGGCATTGAGTTGCTTTCAGTTATTGTATGTGGCTTTCCCTAAACTGACTTGATTTCTGATATTAATTGAGGTATTAGAACATTTGAGATACATAACTGGTAGTCTTAAAAACAAAGAATTGTGGTTGGAGAAAGGAAACAAGGACGATATCGGACCGATAGAGCCGCTTACTCAGCTCTGTACAAAATGATTAAAACGGAAAGTTGTCACGACTAAAAAAAGTGACAAAATGTAAGTAACACAAGTAATACTAATATGGAAAATTAACTATCTTTTTACTTGAATATGAAAGCGATCTTCGCAGTAATGAACATTACTTGAGCAGTAGTGAAAATAAGGCGTAACAAAAAACTCAAGCCTGTATGGTATTTGAACCCATGATGGGACCTCTTCGATACCGGTGCAGTGGAGTACCGGTGCAGCAGAGCACTGCTCCGGTATCGTAGAGGTCATAGGTTCAAATTCCGTGCAGGCCTGAATTTTTGTCAGGCCTTATTTGCACTACTGCTCAAGTAGTGTTCATTCATGCGAAGATCGCTTTCATATTCACGTCTTTATCCGCAGTTCACATACATGATTTTCATATATTCACAGTCATTCTCTTTTACTGCCGCTGATATTACAATATCAGCACAAATATAAAGAGATTTGCAATCAGTTAACAAAGGACCTATTAGAAGATAATGTATTGGCTACTGACTTCTTCTGCCTTCTTTCACTGATGGATGCTGAGCAATTACATTTCGTCGACATATCGGAGAAACCAAAAAAGTAGAGAGCTGAAATTCGTTTACAGTATACTTGCAGAGGGGCCTACCAGAGAACAAAAGATCACATATTCAATGCGTCCTTGAGAGGCTGGTAAATATTAATCAGGTTTCACGACATGTCAGGTATACAAGTAAAACGTGCCTGTTGTATAAACCAGCTAATGACGCCACAGTTTGTGGCCTGAAGTGGCGGTTAGTGTTCAATATCCTCCTCTACACATGCATGCTCGATTAAAGGTCAGTTTTGTTCCCTTGATATGAGCTAAAGTGCTGAGCCAAACCTTAATGAGTTTAGCTGCATTTTTATACACAAAATGTTAATTTGAAATACTTTGATAAAATTTTCTAACAAACTTGGTGTTTTTGCACGCACGGATTGGTTAGTTCGGGGATGATCAGTGGCGATCGGCGATACAAATGTTCACCGTTTGTCATCGAAACCTAAATGGGTAACTGTTTTTGTATGTACGAAGTCAGTTAGACAGTAGCACACTCAAAAGGAAGGCAAGAGAAACCTTTGATTTCGCCTTAATTTCTGCATAGGCAAAGCCGTTAAGAAAACTTTGATCGTAAAACCAAACCGCACAATATTTAAGCATTTTAGCATATCCATAGATCAGTAGGATTAAATTCCACATTGACCAATCACTGGCATGTGATTGGTCTATTCAATAAACCTCAACCAAACCACAGCAACAACGGGAAATTGAATGAAGGAGGTAGCTTGCATGTGACCTTCACATATCATCGTTCTCGATAAGGCTCAAACTATGGGTTGAAAGATGGGAAGCTTAAGCGAATCTTCTTAATTGCCTAACCACTATTAAAATTTTCAACCTGAATTTAGTCCATGCATAAGTATTTCAAATACTGTTACATCACGCAAGTTATATATTTTGATACATTGAACACAAATAAAGAGCTTAAACGAGACGATTTTCAGTCTTAAACACAAAGGCTTTCACTGAGGTTGAATGGTCGTTACAAGCGATAAACACCATTACCTAACAAATTTGAACAGGACGTTACCGAAATGTGCTGTTTCTTTTCCAACATTACGTAAAAAAAACGGTCGTGAAGGTGATTATTTTTACAAAGGATAGATAGCACTCTTTATGTTTTATTCCATAAGAAATCAAAATGTTTCAAGGGAGGTCTCCTCTGTCTGGAGAGGTATGGGAAAAAAATCAAGTTACATAATTAACACTTGTTTGAGATCTGGATGATATTATGCAGGTAAGTCTAGGCATAGCTAGATCACGACGTTTTCTGTTTTTGTTGCTTTCACTGTTGTTTTTTACTGTTATTAACATAATTAACATTTTGTTTTGTTCTTTTTTCACTTGAACCAAAAGCAATTTTGTACAGCAGTTGATAACGGTATATGGCGTAATTAAAGCCACTGGAAAGATTGGAATGCAGTAGATACAGAAATGTTATACTTACAAACAGCGAATTGTGATTTCTGTCGAAGAAAGGAAATGGAATCGATATCGGTATCGTCCCAGAGCTCCCATCGTCATTTGTAGGAACTAGCTGGTCGCCCTCACTCTGACCAAAGGTATAAAAGTTGGGAAGCACAAGAGCTTCTAAAATGGAAAGTTGGCTCAAAGCAAACAGAGTAAGTTGCACTGATGACAAAGCTGACTTCATTCTTTGCACAAATTGTGTGGAGATTGCTACACCAGGATACAGATTGAATTGTTCTGATCAGCTATGGACAGAGCCGTTATGTAAAGCTTGACTTTTTCTAACGAGTTCTGTGATTGGTCAGTAAATAGTTGTAAGTACCCGCCCCGATTCTCACATTTTGAGTGGCTATATCTCATTAAAGAAGTTTAATGAAATATTCCTTTCATAAGCTAACGGAACTACGATCATATTAGCGAACGGAGACATCATCGTGGTAGGATGTGAGCGCATGTTAGTTCTTTTACCGGCCATGAACGTGATCAACGTAAATTAAGTCGTAAATTAAGAGCACTCAATCATCAGCAGCCGGAAACTGGGAAACTTTCGCACGTCTTTTAAAACTTTAACCGTAAAAAGTCATGTCAGCTAGCTCGAGACTTACTTCACTTACTTCACCCCGTTCCCATTTAGATCAATAAATGGAAAACAAAACTTGCACACATATTCAGTTATAAGAGCAAGTTTTTAAAATTTGTAATTGAGTAAATTTCATCTGACCCGTGAATCAATTCACATAAAGCTATGATTCAAGCAGTTGAGCTGCAAGCGGAAAAAAGCAAGTTATGTTTGTAAGAAAATGCCCCTGTTCTTTACCGTGTTTGTCAACTATACCAAATATTAACAGCACTGGCGAATTCCCCACAAATCGATTTAAAAACGTGCGGAAGCTTTCAAACAATTTAACAGTTGAAGTGTGCATACGTGAGATTCAAAGCAGTCGAGCGTAACCCGGAAAATGAAGTGGAAATATAAGTTTTTTCTTGAGATCATATCTGGTGCACGCAACGGCTCTGACAAGTTTTTAGGCTGCCTGTGGATTAAATTCAAAGAAAGCCATGATTCTAGCAGTTGAGCTGCAAACGGGAAAAGCAAGTTTTGTGTGGAAGAAAATGACGCTGATCTTGATCGTGTTTGTCAACTATACCACAGTTGAAGTGTGCATACGCGAGATTCAAAGCAGTCGAGCGTAACCCGGAAAATGAAGTGGAAATATAAGTTTTTTCTTGAGATCATATCTGGTACACGCAACGGCTCTGACAAGTTTTTAGGCTGCCTGTGGATTAAATTCAAAGAAAGCCATGATTCTAGCAGTTGAGCTGCAAACGGGAAAAGCAAGTTTTGTGTGGAAGAAAATGACGCTGATCTTGATCGTGTTTGTCAACTATACCAATATTAACAGCACCGGCGAATCCGTCAAAACTCGATTTTAAAACATGATGAAGCTGTCAAACAATTTAACTGTTGAAGTGTGCGTACATGAAATTCAAAGCAGTCGAGCGTAACCCGGAAATTGAAATGGAAATGCGTTTCTTTGAGATCACATCTGGTGCACGTAACGGCCCAGACAAGTTTTTATGCTACTTTTTTCAACGAAATTCAGGCGCTTTCGCTGATGGCCGTCATAGAGGGCCACGGCCATCAAGAGATCAACGAAATCACACTTCAAAGGAAGAAAAAGGATCGCAGATAACATCTGTTAAGTCATCTGAGGGAAAGAGGTGGTAGATATTCCTTTCCAATTATCCACAACAACAAAATACCGCAAGTTTAAGTGAATAAAATACAAACTTCGACCGGATTGTAATTTCTCAGACCCTGAGGTGATTGAAACGCATTTTTAAGAAATTACAATGCCCCATCCTTTTCCAAAATTTCTGATCACAACAAACACTGATACGTGATGGGCGATTTTAATCTCGATCCACTCCTTTACAATCATCATATGCCCACGCAGGAATTCATTGGCAGTTTGTACCCGTCACGTAAGTTCCTTCCACTAATTTCCAATTCACGACGCTTGACCTCTTACTCAGCAATACTTATAGACAATATATTCACTTATCAACTTCCAAACGATGTCTACAATGATATTATTTAATAGATAATTACTGAGGTTCGCAGCATTATACCCAATAATGCTGCGAACCGAAGTAATTAACTATTATAATTATTGACCCTCATAAAATCCTATTGTTCTCTCTCTGCATTACATCGACGATTTCAGTCGCCCCTTCATATTGATGTTTTGGTACACCAACAATGCAACTGGCAAGCATTGTCCAGTAATAATACAAATTGCATATTCTTTTTTCATTCCCCAATTCAGCCATTGTTAACTACTTGCAAAGATGATATAATCATTGACTCTCATGAATTCCTACTATTTTCTCTCTCCAACAATGCAATTAGCACGTATTGTCTAGTAGTTATACAAATTACATAACCCTTTTCATTTCCCGGAATTTAGTCATTGTTAAATCCTTGTAAAGATTGTGTAACTTTCCACATCTTTCAGGTGTGTGATTGAATTTCATGCAAACGTAATTTGCATTGTATATTAACGCAATGCACTTGGTTATTTGAGTTGTTTGTTGGAAGGCAAAGAGTTGCTACTGTTTTGAAGCTTGATGGAGGATTCTTCGGAAGACGCTGCCGTTGCCCTTCGACGAAGTTGCCCTTCGACGAAGTTGCACCACACGATTGTACGAAGGTGGTGTGCCAGAACAAGTTATTGTAGAAACCACTGGTCACCGATCATGTGATGGGGTTAGGGAGTATAAGTGTACCTCATCAACACTTAAAAGGAAAGCAAGTGAAATCTTGCAGGGAGCGACTCCTAAGAGGGCAGAAATAGACGTCAAGGAAAAAAATGAAAAACTGTTTAACAATGATGTTGAGCAAAAATATGATGGACAAAGGGAAGAAACAGGGTTACAGGGGTTAAGCGAAAAGGTTTTAGACGAAAACCAGAGCGAAGATTATAATCAGTCAGTTGTAATTAGTACTCACAGTACGAAAATTGTTATTTCTTACAAGTGAGAAAGACTGTCATTGTCAGATGTGCCCTAAATAAACTGTAAAATGTTTTCGTCTGTACGTCTCCTGGAATGGTACTTCTCATGGTGTATTCATTTACTTTTTAACTTCAGATCTTCATCATAAATTATGCGCGGACATTCGCGAATTTTCAAAAATTACTGAGTGGAAAAGTAACGAAGTAAGTACCACAGTCATGCAGCAATATTAAAAATATTGCTGGAAGCAGGCTGCATTATTAAAAATATTGCAGTGCAGCCAGCCCACTGCAATATTGAACGTTTTAGCGCGTTTAGGATTACCCCTGATAATTTCCCTGCTACCAAAAAGGACCGCCACCGTTTTCCTCAGACAGTTGGACTTGACTGAATATGAATACTTTCTCAGGCTGAAATCGCCGATATAATGCTGAGAGAGAACAATAGGATTTTATGAGGGTCAGTAATTATTCTAAATGACCTATCGGATCGCTTTCCGGTTTTCACATATTTTCACGATGAACAGTTGTCTCCCACCGGAGGGAAAAAATTTTTTTAGGCGTTCATTTAACGAACGCAACTTGAATAAATTTAATGGCCTTCTCTCCCGAACGAATTAGTCTACATTTCTTAATGAGGAAGACCTAATAAATCTTCTAAGGACTTTGTAAATAAATTTACCAGCCTTTTTCACGATTGCTTTCCCATGAATATCATCAAAGGCAAAGATGTAAACAAACTCAGTTCTCTTTGGCTAACCCCCGGTCTTTTAAAATTCACTAATAAAAAGAACAGGCTCTACAATCAATCGGTCAGGTCATCCAGTGAGTCCTGCAAATTGCGTTATAAAAGGTGCGAAAACAAACTGAATCGTTTAACTTGAACTGTAAAGCGAGTGTATCTTGACAGTAGATTCAAAGAAGACTTGAAAAATCGACCTCCAATTGACCTGGAGACTGATCAACGAAGTTATAAACAATAGAGAGAGGAAGCCTTTTCTACCTTCATCATTTCTTACGGAAGGCAGGACTGTTATGAATCCCAAAGAGATCGCTGACAGTTTCTGTAAATACTTTTCCAATCTTGGTCCCAACCTGGCAAAAGCTTTACCTGCGGTAAACTATTCTTTCCGTTTATTCCTTTCTGACTTCTATTATACACTTATAACTCTAAGACCTACTGATGTTAACGAATTGGAAGATATTTTCAGTAAGTTCTCATCTGGAAAGGCCCCCATTTATGATAACATCCCGATGCATGTTATCAAAAATTCCTTTCACCTTATCGCTGCTCCTCTACTGAGTATTGTTAATCTTTCTTTGCAAAAAGTTATTTTTCAGGACAAAATGAAAATTGCTAATTAAAAGTGATCCCTGTGTACAAAGCAGAGGATCCCAGTCGGTTCGTTAATTATAGACCATTCTCTTTAGAACCCGCTTTTTCAAAATTTCTTGAATAAGTTATATACAACTGACTTATTGAGTTTACTGAAACGTTAATATATTCTATGGCTGCCAGTTTGGATTTCGTAAAAGTCACACGACTTCACTAACTTGCGTTAAATTACCTTGTTAACAACATTTCTTCCGCTATCTACAGTTGTGAAATCACCGTAGGTGTTTTCTTAGACCTTTCTAAACCCTTTGATACTCTTGACCACCAAATTTTGTTTTTAAAATTGAAAAGTTATGGTATTCGTGGTATGGCTCCAAGTTATTTTTCTGTACATCTACAATTTGTTCAATTCAACTAAACTTGCTCATTCAAGTAAATTAGTAAGTGTGGTGTCCCCAAGGCTCAATTTTAGGTCCTTTGTTATTAAAATTACATATAAATGATCTTCCCAATGCATCTAAATTAACACAGCCTCTGCTTGTTACTGATGACACCAGTATCTTTTATTCTCACCAAGATCTCAAATATCTAGAGTCCGTTCTCAATGATGAACTGTACAATCTTGACATTTGGATGAAATGCAATAAGCTTTCGGTAGATATTAAGAAAATAAGTTACATTAGTTTTAAATCGAGGTAGAAGAAACCTGGTAACTTTTCTCCCTATCCTTTGGAAATCAAACATTGAAACAAGTGAATGAATCAAAATTTTTAGGTGTTTATATTGATGAGCATTTAACATGAAAACCTCACATTAGCTTCTAAGCGAAACAAATCTCTAAGTTAGTCGATATAATATTTGGGACTAAATACTATTTCTCATCTAAGACTAAGCTTACTCTGTATAAGTTAATTTACCCATATATGTGACCAACTTAAGTAGAATTTTTTACTTACAAAAATGTGCTGTGCGAGCTATCACCAACTCAGACTATCGAGAACACACTGCCCCCATATTTGCAAAATTGGGCATCTTCGATATTTTCCAAGTCAACGCATTGCAATAGCTAAATTTATGTTTTATTATCATAATCAAGTATTGCCCCCGATGTTCCTCAGCTTGTTCACTGCAAATAAGCAAGTACACAGTTACAGTAAAAGAATAGCCATTTGCTATCGACCACGTAACTGTCGTTAAAATCTTTAACAATCTACAATACTCTACCAAGGTCCAAAAATTTGGAATTATCTCCCAATATCCATCACTGGTTTGACTAGCTTTTTTACTTTTAAAAGAAAGATGATTGATTTTTTGATGAAATGAGTCCGAACTGGCCAAGCCGAAGGCCTAAATGTTATAACTGTCCTAAGTGTAATAAAGTCCTAGATGTAATAACATTTAGTCCGAAATGTAATAAAGTCCTAAATGTAATAACATTTGGTCCTAAATGAAATAAACCTTCAATGCAATCGTTTAACTGTTCTAATGCAGTTATAGCGGACATTCACATTGAGATATTTAAGTGACAGCTGTTGCACCAAAGAATCCTCTAACCTATATTTATGGCATATTGCGGGCTCGCCGATATTAACGAGCGTCTTCTTATATTGATGTGCTTTTGGCATCAAATTGACAGACGCCAAAACAATGAGAAATCTGACCAATACCTCTCTTTAAATCATTGGATCAGACAATTTAGCGCAACAGATTTTGACGATATACTTGTGTGATCAGTGCTGAAGTTAACACTTTATGGACCAAATTACAAGGAAAAGGAAGTCCTCTGACCTATACGATAGACAAATTCCGGGCTCGGAAGTACAGTTTTTGTACTGTCTTCCCTTGCCAGATTTGTATGGGTCTGCATGAAGTATATTCATGTGCGTTATTGACCAAGCGTGAGGTCAAGATGGCTGGATATTGACCGCGGTCTGTTGTTACGTTGTCATGGACCGCGACGAAATAGAGGTTCATAAAAACGCTGAAAAAGAAAAAGGTTGACATCCAACCATCTTGATCGAATAAGATTGGTCAAGAGAGACATATATTCTCCAGCCGATCTCAAGTTTTAACTTCATTTTTTGTTTTCATCTCTCCTCTCCGCCGTGAGGGTAGAAAATGAATAGATGAACAAATGAATGAAAAAAAGAAGCTCCACATTTTCCACTTGTAGTTATATGGTACATGAACTGATTACCGAGGTGGAGTGAAGCCATAGAGGGCTAGAAATGCAATATCCCAGGTTCAAAAAGGTATATCCGAGCCTACAAGTTGTCCGAATAACAAGACAGCGGTCTCGCTTGTCCAAGTTTGTTAACTTCATCACTGATCACACAAGTATTAGTACGTTATCACATTTTTCCAAAGTCTAAAGTACTTTAGAGTCTGAGCCAGTGATATATAGAGAGGTATTAGTCAGCATAGTCATTGTTTTGTCAGCTGTCATTTGATGCCAATCGTTCATCAGTATAACGGTTTGCAGCCAATGCTTGTCGACTTAAGTCTAGCAAATGAGAAGACGCTGATTGATATCAGCGAGCCCGCCATATGACAAGGTAAGAGGTGCAACAGCTGTCACTTTAACATCTCAATGTGGATGTCCGCTATAACAACAATGCACTGACGAGGTTAAAAGATTGTATTGGAGGCTTATTTCATTTACGACTAAATGTTATTACATTTAGGACTATTTCATTTAGGACAGTTATTACACTTAGGCCTTCCACGGCCACATCCACATCCACAACTTAATTACAAATATATTGAAAACCGAGGTGGCCTCCCCTAGAAGCCTGGCGGTTTCTTGGAGGTTCTTCTCGCCCTACCATACTGTTAAACCTGTATAAATATTTTATGTTAAGTGGCTAATAAATAAAAATGATGATGATGATGATGATGATATATAAGCCGCGTTGTTGTAAATAAATCCTTCCTTCTTCTTTTTTTTCCATTTTGTAAAGTCGCTCGTACTTCAAGGTCGTATATCTATACTCGTTACAGCATTGTTATTTCTACGTCTAATATAACGGTAGACCACAATGAGCACCATAAGGAATACGGTCCCTGCTGCTGCAGAAGCGAGGATATGCCACAGTTTCCAGTTCCCCTTCATACCTGAAAAGCAGAAAAGCAGTCTAAATCTAACGTTTACAATGGGTAAAAAGTTTTTGATTGATCGTTTTTTTTTTTTAAAGAAAATTCATGTTGATGATCATGCTTTCTTTCTGTGCAGTTAAGCACCTGCAGTATTCATGACGTATGCAGTGCTCCCGTCTTAGCGTGGTTTACGGCGGTGCTTACCTGAAGGTTCACAGCTTGGTTTAGAACCATTCCACTGTCCTTGGTAACAACGAATAACTGAAGGGCCTGTTAGACTGAAACCTGTGTCACAGTGGAACTTGAATAACATGGCTCCATCTTTAGAATCCTTTCTTTGCATTAAACCATTGCTAAGCACGTTCTCAATTGGTATGCAGCCTGCAATAATTTAATCTCTGCCGGTTAGTTACTTATATAGTGTCGAGGTAAACTTTAGATAAAATCTGTAGCCATGCACAAACGTCTGACTGAACATATCTTTTGTGCACGACAAAGAGTCGGTTCACAACAAGTCCCTAACTGCAATATTACTACCGGAACAGTTCCAGTGTTTTGTAGATCATCACTAAAACTCAATCATTCGGTAATATACTGGTTTGAAAATTGAATGTAAAGGTCAACAAAGTTACCAATTCTGAAGTTGATATTTTAAAACATGTAACAGCATAATAAGGGATTTGGCAATACTATGTTGCAAAAAGCAGCGTTATAAAACTTTTAAGCAGGGGATTACACATCTCTTCTCTTTTCAGCATTGCTTTTCATCAATCATTTCTCATAATATCCACACTGGACAAAAGAGCCACTAACCTGGGGTCTCTATTTCATTTACGACCACAGCAAACGACTCCAAGGCCTTCTTAGAATTCATCCCAATGCTGATCTTTCCAGTGGTGTAAATATCAAACAGGCATTGCTTGTTATTACCGCACACATTTCGAGCCTGCTGACCGAAGATTACGTCATCAAACACCAATTCCTGATCGAAAAATACCGGTATGTATCCCACATCGACATAAGAGGTATGATTTTCGCCATAATCGTATGTGAATAATGAGTCCTCTTCAGTTACAGCCCCTGTGAGGATGATATTACGGTTAGGATGACCAACAGTCTTCCACAAATTTTTAACAATTTTCAAGGGTCAGGCCTTAAATGAAGGCTAAGCTGAGCACATTTTCACTACATTTATGTAACTTGGTCACGTTTTAAGAAGTATATTTTAAACAGCAAAGGTTTGAAAAGGTTCACAAATATCTCAAGAGTAGCTTAAAGTGTTTTAACCTAAGTCCTGTGCTTAAAAAACATTTTAGGCCAGGGAAATGCAACTTATCATCAAACTGAAGGCATGACTTTTCCTTCAAGAAATCTTGGATTTTTACAGGTTAGAAAGTAACCATCAGGGCTGCCAAAAGCATGTCAAACAGTGTTAGATGAATACCTCCTCCTAACGAGTAACGTCATGTCACCCTCTGAGTTCTACAGGAGGTACCTAATTAACGTTCTGGTTGTAGGTCTAAGTTAACAAGGATTACTGTAAATATTCAGCGCACGGTCTCAAGTGCATCAGCTTACATTTTTGTCCAAATTCGTAATGAATTCGTGATTGGTTTGAATTAGTGTCAAGGAAGGTTCCGTCAGGAAGCAGATATTCTTTTACTTGGTCCCCGTCCCAGAATCCCAAAAGGCCACTTGTGTTTCCTTAAAAAACATAATAAAGAGAGAAAAACGTAATAAATAGACGTACTAACACTTGAATTAATTTCAAAGAATTCAAATCTGTCGCATCATACTTCAAATTTAAAGCAGAGGATTGCCTTTTACTTGGCGTTGAGTAATCAACAGTAATTGTCGGCAATCTTCCCCCAATTTGCTGCAGTATGCCGGCGTTACCCGTAAGTAGCTGCTTGAATGTTTTACTAAAAATTTCTTATCAAGAAAATCCAGCATCATTCAGATAGCGCTGAATTTAATTTCATCATTATTTGTTATAACAAAGAAAAACAGCTTCCACCTGTTGTGATCATAAATTCCAGGGTGTCACTTTCGACGGATTTTTAAGATAGGGCATACCTTTATACATCTGTGGCACCAACAGCATCATTTGTAAAAGTTCATCGAACTTCTCGATTGTAATTGATATCCCAGAGTTAAATATGGTGGAATATTTATAGGAGTTGTTGTATTTTAAAACTGAGACGCCATTAAATTCCACTAGCAGTCGCTCATCAAATTCCATCAAAGCTCCATTCACCAGAACGTCAACTTCACTGCGGCCGTTGATGTGAACCTGATCAGAGGGAATTCAGTTCAAGTTGCCAATAGATATTTCTATTTAGAGTCTGTTTAGTTAAAGTGCAGACAATGAAGTCTTTATGACAAAGACAGCACTAGCCTTTCCACTACTCTTTTTCCCCTAAGGGCAAAACATTTTCTTCAGAAAGTAACGGCCATGCGTTTCCCTCTGTTATAAAACAACTGAGAGCAAAAATGTTAAGGGAAAAAACCAGCTGCGTTTCATAATCATTAGTTAATGAACATTCGTCCCTCTCTTTCATTCTTTTCAAACTGCACCCGGCGAAAGGTTAACCTCGCTCATAAGTGTTTTCTGAATAAGGAACAGCCCCCTTTTTTTCTTAAGAAAAAGCGAAGGTTAGTTTCTGTTTGGCCAGTGTTTACCTGTACAATATCCGAGCCATTTTCCTTCATCGCAAACGCCTTATAAACTGTACCAGGAGTCTTTCTGCCGTAACTATTGATCAAAGGCTGCATTCTTCCCTGTAGCTTGAACCCAGAAGGTGGTACCTGGAGAATGTGATACTCGCCATAACCATTAAAGGTGTATTCAACTCCATCCAAAGTAATCATGTGAGGATCGCCGATTCCAGTGGCTACAGAAAAAAACAGTTAAAAATTAAAGTGAGTACAATCATTGAATTTTAATCTAATACTTAACCACATCTAGATAAAATTTGCGCCGAAATTTTTGGCAACATTATCATCATAACATTATACAAAACATTAAAAACAGAAATGTACAAAAAAAAGACTTGAAAACTGCATGTAAGTAAAAGGAAAAATGGCGGGAGGATCGAATGTGATGGAAATAGTTTAAATTCGCTTATCAATTCTATATTCCTTGACCTCTTAACAAGTAGCCAAGACGAAACTTGTCAAGAATCCTAACAATCAGGCCATTTCAATGGACAGTTAGCCACAATAAAGCACTTCACAGAGGTTTGCAGTTTTCAGTACAGCTCCTTTGGTTGAGGAATTACAAACATTAGTAATTTTCCAGCTAAATTTATCCTAATAGTTTTCGTAGCACTACATCTCGAAGTATAATTGATTAGCGGACTTAGTATTTATCCTAGTTTTCGAAGTCTCTTTTCAGAATATCTGTCAAGAATACGTGCCATTAACTCACTTCGCATGGATAAAATGAAACAGGAAACCCATTTGAAACAAAGGATAGTCATAAAGTTACTGATATCCAACCTGGCCGTGGGGGCTCGTAGTTCATGCCGTTATCTGATGGTCTCTTCTCAAAGTATTTTCCACAGTTTTCAGACAATACACAACAGTCTGAATAAGGCATCAGGTCGTGGAAGAAATGAGAGAGAAACGGCACTCCAGCACTAATATGAACCCGACTCAGGGATCCCCCATTTTTTGGACCAATCATCAAGTTTCCTTGTTCATTATAGCAACACTGCTGTCCAGCACCTTCTTCACTGCAAATTGAATGAAGTTGGATGTTCAGTCTCAATCAATGGCATTTGCATACCCAAAGAGAAAAATGTAAGTTCTTCCAACAGGAGATGGAAACCGTATTTCGCCCTGGTACTTAACTAATTATAGGAGACGCTTAGCCAGTTCGCTAAGCTAGGTTAGTGTACAACCTCTGAACATACATCTAGGGAACTATTTTAAGAACGCCGTTCCGATCATATGAACTAGCGCGAGCTTTTATTGAAAAACATTATAAGAGATATCTGCGAGAAAGAGCCGAACGCGACGACGAGAAAAAGGCGCAAAAAAGCTTTACGGCCTCGTGAGATGCAAAATGCAACAATTAAGAAAGGGAAATGGAGAAGGAACGGCGATCATATGAAAACATACTTGTTGACCGAAGTGGGTTGGGAAAGACGAGAATATCTTTGTCTCTTTATCATATATTCCTTCCGACCCTTCCACCCGGGCAATAAGTAAGCAATAAGCATATGGGCTTGATGATGATAGACTAAACTTAATTATTGTTTTTTTTTACTGCAGAGTAAGCGACTCTGTAGACGTACACTCATTTCTGTACGTTGAGCATGTTTTCTTGTGAATCATATATGCATATTCACCTTGGATTGTTAGTGCTAAAGCAATGCGTTGCCTCCTTGCGGTATACAGCACAGTGTTGCTCAACATCTGGATTACAGTATTCGTCTAACATAAATCTACCGCGGTCCGCCATCGCTTGAAGAAACGTTTGCGGGCAGGATAGGAGGGAGGTGTCATCTGTGAATATGCAAAGAAGTGGCCGCAATTAGGTCTGTCGAAAAACATTGTTATGTAAGACCTCTCCTCTAAGATGTGTACTGTTTTTTCATTAATTTTAAAGTTTTTGTTGATATCTTCGTAGTGTTGTGATCTCGGCTACTTGAGATTTGTGTTTGTAGTTACTGGTAGCCCTCAACTAAATGTTTTCTGCCTAGCTTCTTGGGATCCCGTTGAAATTAAAAATGGTCTATTTTGTGATTCACCTGTGTATATCTCAGGATCAGGCTGCTTGTCATACCAGTGCACACATCTCTGTTCAGCCATCTCATAGCTCAACCAGTGGAATGGATCGCTCCAGATCCACTCGGCCGGGGAATTGCTGAAATTGCCAGAAATCCTTTTTACCAGAACCAGTGTGACAAAGCGGTCACCCCCAGCTATTGTTCTAAAAGTTTGTAGGAAAAAGAGTTTTAAAAATGTTCTCATTGAGAAGGTTCGTGTACTTTCGACTTAACAGTGTACTTTTCTGCCGTTGTGATTTGAAGAGAAAAGTTTCTTTAGCTTCGATAACAAAGTATCTGATAACGCAACAAACAATTTATTTTACGTAATCCTTTCTCGATCAATTGGATACATCCCGAAATGCATTAAAGAAAAAGTGCTAGCTTTTTCATCGTTGGCGATCTACTATAAGCTTCTAATTTAAGGAAGAGGTCCTCTATGATTCATCGTCATTTCGATGATTTTGAAGTTTCTGCAGACTGTTAGTTTCAGTTTATTGAGAATGAAAAGCAATGATAACTTCTCACCCTTGACCTGCCCCTTTTGGTACATGGAACAGACTGGTTCCGTCATTTTCCTGACCTGCCACTAGATTGAATGTGCTATGAAAAACCACCTGTCCGTCGTCTTTCATAGAAAAACGAGCCAACTGAACAGTTACTCTCTGATTCTCGCTCCCGAGATAAGCTGGATCCCATGAAATCTGAGCTTCAGCTTGTTCAGACCACGTCTTCGCCATATGCCGTACGACAGCCGGCTTGAATTTGACAATGTTAACTGGCAAGGCAAGAATCAATAAAAACCGATATACACACGCTACTCAAAATTCTGAATCACCTGAAATCCTAACCAATGGAGGTGGGATTGTCATGCTCCGAGACTGACATGCCCTTAAGGTTTTATAGATCCTCTAAGGGATAAAATTGGCGATATGGTACTTCTAAAGTTTATCAAATGTATTCATCTTCAGATATACTAAAGAAACAGTTTGAGACATAAACTCTCCCAAAACTTGCTTTTTTTCCAAAAAAGAGATAGTTTTATACGGCATACTCCACTTAAAACCTAGCCTGTCGATTCGAGTTTTTCGAAGAAAAATACACTGAGAGCCTTAGCAAAGTAGTCTTTTATGCTGTGTGAAAGGCTAGGCTTCCAAAGTCTAATCTTACCAATGGTGATGATGCCTTGATAATCGAAACTCCTTCCTCCATTTACTGACATTTTCATTGCTAACCTGCCAGTCAAATAAAGCATTGGCACAGTGCAAGATGCCTGAATGGGACTAATGTAACTTCCGTTGGTTGCTTTGCCTCCAGAAAATTCACATATGATGTCATCTGATGGTTTGAAGCAGGGTCCAGACACGAAAATGTTGTCACCTCCAAGCATGATTGCGTAGCCCGGTGAAATGACAATTGATCCTTTAAAAAGATTGAAATAAAAGAAAAACCTTAGTACGCATCCTTCTCATTACAGTTATTGTCATCGTCTTTGTCACCGTTTTCGTCGTCTTCACCATCACCATGATCTTCGTCGTCAATGTCATCTCTGATGCTTTAAAAAGCAATAAGTAAAAGAATACAGCTCTCGTGACTCAAAATCGAGGAAAAACAACCCTCAAGTGCGTTTCACTCGAGAACATACTGTAGCGCTAAAAATACAATCGTTTGGTTCACTTGTACGCTAGCACCAGCAAAAATTTGACCTAAAACGCCTTCGTTTGTGTAAACCAGGTGTGCAGCATAAACAAATACCAAACTCATTTTTAAATAAGTAAAGGTGGTAAGTTTCTAAAGAAACTGTGTGCTGCGTCGGTGGGGGAGTATAAAAAGATAATTTGGTTCTATCAACTGAGGTAATGATGTAAATTGGCCACCGTAAAGGGTTTTAAAGCTGACGTTGTGAGCGTTGGCCCTTCGTCATTCGCTCTGACGAAGGGCTAACGCTCGAAACATCAGCTTTGAAACCCTTAGAAGGTGGCCAATTTACACAAACAACTCATTTGATAAAACCAAATTGTCTAATTTTTAAAATTATTACCCTTCACTTGGTGAATATTATGTCACTTGCAGGAATAAAAGGCCTACACCTCTAACCTTTCGTGTTGCAACCACCTTCCTCGATCTCCGCACTATCAATACGGAATATCCATCGACCGGGGTTCGCCACATTGGTTTTGTTAGGAAGATTGATAACGTCATGAGTGCGAGACCCTGGGATAGTGTAAAAGCGTTTGCCATCACCAGCATTAAAGCCTGCCTGTCAATAAAAAATGAAGCGACGGTTAAAAAGTTATTTAGAAAAAGATGCCTTTTAGAAACAATCATTCAAACAATGTATTATGAGAGGCTACTTCGTACTTGTGCCTGGGTACCTCCAAGCCCGGTCTGGTCTCCTGAGCTTGCTGTGCCAGTAGTCCAAGTGATGTTGTTATAATTGTAAATTACAAAAGAGTGCCGTCCATTTGTTATCATAACCGCCTGGAAAGTGTTTCTCTGGAGGAAAATTGAAAATAGCAGGTTAATTGGCACATTAAAGAATAATCCTCCCAACTTAAATGCGTTTTCCGATTGTAGGAGAACGTATCACGTGTGAAAACTCACCTATTCCACTTGGTAACGTCAAGTTGAACTTTCGTTTCGCTCTTAAAAAGGTCGCACACCTCGAAACCCCAGTCATTGCTCTATTCGATTTGGGAAGGATAACATAAACTGAATCATTGGGCCCGGAGGGGGACGGCATTTTTGTTTTGGGATCTCGGCCAAACTATCATGATCACAATTTAACTTTCAGTTTCTCGACTTTATTTACTTTTATTAACCAAAGTCTCTCGGCCTCTGTTGTATGAGACGCAGTATCCTAACAATTGGCGCGCACGTATAGCACTAGAGATCGAGATAGACCTTCGAGTCGGGCGTTAGCTAGGTCATTGTTGTGGTTTATAAGAGACAATTTGCTCTTACCAAAATTGCTAAAAAACTGTATTGGTGAACGTTTGGAGTAATTGACTGCGATGGATCAGCATTCCATCTAAGACAAGTTGCAATACTGCCCCCTGGATCGAATCTCCTCCTGTAGATATCTTTAGCATTGCTGAAAATATCATGGGTTGTCTCACTTGATACTAATATCATTTTCCTTAGGGTTTGGGCCAAATAAGACCATGCCTTATTTGTGTAATTCCCAGCACCATAGAACAAGACAATACAATCATACTGACAGTGCTAACAAACTTTAGAAGAAAGCTAACAAGTTTGTTTAGTAGATGCCTAACATGGATCAGCATTCCATCGATAGAGGAAGTTGTAATGCTCCTTCTGGATATCCACTATCCATTCTATGGATATCCAGGACACACGTGAGGGCATACATTAGCATTGCTATAGATATTACAGTTTGTCTCTCTTGATCCTAGTAGTAGGCTTTACCTTGTGTGTGAAATTCCTAGCACCATAGAAGGCGACTTCATACCACGTCGCCACGAATAGCCAAGTGGCTTTGAATTTTCTGTGATCTACAAAGGTGGCTGTAACATCATTAGTAGCTCGTTTAAGCAGTTGCGAATCTGTGGTCTCTCGGTAGAACACTTGTCCGCCATTAGTTGTATCAACGTCAGCCCAAAATGGCGCCACGAGTCGACGATCATCCCCCAGAGGAAATGGATCCGGGGTATACTGTGAAACTTGGACCAGGAAAGAAATCACCCCGTTGGTGTTGACCTGAAATAATCAATTAAACCCGTAATCTACGGCTAAACTAGTGGAATCTTCAACTTTTCTGTGATACCGCTTTGGTGGCCTAGAGATAAAGGATAACAGCGAGTCCAACTGCGGTTCGTCTGGTGATGGATAACACCCATTTACAAAAGTAAAAAACTCGGGATGTTAAGAAACTGCTTTAGAGATTTGTATAATTCTGAAACCTGTAATAATAATTATAATTGTAATAATAATAATAATAACGATTTATCGACAGTATTTCTACATGGTAGCTCTACATCCGTCATACTAAAAACTAACGACTTACATAATGCATAATGTACACAGTGTTATTCAAGAAACATTCACCATTTACATAAAGTACTTAAAAACTGCTAAAAACTACATAATCTAAAATATTATAGATACCATAAGAAACCTGATCGAGACAACTTATAAGGTTAAACGCATGTTTGCTCTTGCAAGAATTGTACAAGAATTATTTTTGAAAGTATCGAAGTCTGGACACCGCCTCACACTTAGGGGGTGGAGCATTGAGTAAAGTCGCTAGTGAGTTCCGAAAAGTACTCTTAACTAGAGAATTTTCTTTTAAAGGCGCATTATTAGAGCGTAGTGTACGTTGGGGATTGTGCTTAGGCGGTTGAAGGCATTTGGGCTAAGCTGCACTAAAAAGAGCTCGATGTCCAAGTTTAAAAATGTTTAATTGCGTATTTTCTAGTGTAGGTAGCCAGCCAAGCTCTAGAGCGTCCTTTTCTGAACAGAAACGATTCAAGACAAAGCCAGCGGCAGCATTCTGAACGCGTTGTACTCTTTTCTGCAGAAATGCGGGAAGGGGATAAGTGACGGAGTCATTAAAGTAGAGTTTGGATAGCACGAGGCTTTGAACAAGAGACTTCTTAGTCTCTTGTGATGTCATATTCTTTATCTTCCTGAGAGTGGCTAGCACTCTACACCATGATAATGTGACCTCGTTTACATGTTCTGTCCATTTAAGATTCTCACTGAGCCAAGTTCCTCACAACTTTAATTTCTTTACTCTATCAACTGTTTTATCTTTCAAGGTGAGAGGTGGAGTGTATTCGTCAAGATTACGCACTTTAGACATCTGCTTGGTGGAAATAACCATGTGTTTGGTCTTGGTCTCATTCAAAAGCAGATTACTATCAGCTGCCCATGGCTTGATGCTGCTGAGGGTCTTTTTCATATTGTCTACACAGACATCAGCTCAGAAACCACAGAAACCACTTGGCGTGCCGCACAGGAGTTCGAGTAGTACAGACACCTTCATGTGGTGGAAACACGACCTACTGAAAAACGGCGTAAAAACTAAAAATTTCCGCTCCCATGTAGTTGCTAACGAGATCTCTCTTATTTAATGCTAAATAACAAGAGGACCATTGTCCTGTGCTTATGTAATTAATGCAAATCCAGCTCGAAGTTAAAATTACAAAATGAGTGCCGAGAGTGAAATTTTCTTCTGCCAAAGGTCTACTAGGGAAGGAAAGCTAATAAGAGCTTTCCCAGTGCGAACCCTATTGATTAGCCTTTCTCGTGTTCTTTTACTCTTTGTTCCTCTTTTCTCACTCAGGCAATCCAGAAGTCTTCTTTTTGCTCGTCCTGATATCTGTGAAGTTGAATAACTCGCTTCTTTGACTCCAATAGCCTGTCTTTTGTTATATGTTGTCAAATGACAAAAGGACCATTGTCTTGTGCTTGTGTCATTAATGCAAATCCAGCTCGAAGTTAAAATTACGGTATGAGTACCGAGGGTGAAATTTTCTTCCTGTCAAAGGCTTACTAGGGAAGGAAAGCTAGCAACTGCCTTCCCAGTGCGATTCCCTGCGATTAGCCTTTCTCGTATTCCAACAAATCCGATATTCAAGCCTTGTAATAAGAGAGAAAAAGCCAAAAGGGCGCGGAGCTCCATGATGCGTGTCAATCTCTAACTCATTCACCTCTCTGTCCTTCAATAGTATCAATTTTTGGATAATTATTTATTTAACTTATCAAGTGAAGTCTTAAACTTAGGGTTCCCTGATGATGCCTTGGACAGGAGGAAGCTTGAAAGATCAATTGATTAAATGAAATAAACGAAAAAATTAGACGCTATTGTTGCTTTTGACGTCCTCGGTAAAAGGTTTATAAAAGGTTAATGAAAAGCGGGACAAGAATTAATTAGACAATCTTAGAAGGGTTGAATTACTCTTTGAAATGTCAAGACGCTGTCAGTTATATGTCTTAATTGATACTCCCTGCAGTGGGTCACGGAACAAACACAAGTCATTTGGTTTCTGGAGCATATATATGTCTCTTGAAGTTTACATGAACATGTCAAATAAAAACTTCTTTTTTTCGCACATATCATCGCTTTGAAGGTTCATGCCTTAAAAATTAAGGTAACGGTTGATTTGGAAAAGAGGCTATGCAGCGTAATTGTGTTAGTTCTGTTTCATAAGTTATTCATAGAATTTCCGGTCTGCTGATTTCTGTTTAATCATTTTTCTATTCTCAGTATTTCCGCACTTGAATTTTTTACGAACTAGACCAACGTTGTTAATGTATTCCCACTAATAATGTAGCTCTGTTTTCTTCCTATTAACACACGCACAACCCACAATTCCTCCAATCGCCCTGACAAATGGCTAACGCTCGAAACGTCAGCTTTTAAACTCTTTACGGTGGCCAATTTACGTTATAAACTCCGTTGACAGGTTGACAGTGCTGATTTACCCTGTTATACTCTCCCATCGACGCAGCATCACAGTTTCTTTCGAAACTTACCCCTTTATTCAACGTTGTTATGGTTTTATTGTTGTTAACAATGTTAAATTGTGAATTACGATTCTTTGAACACAGGATGGATTAAACGTCACCACCTAACAACGCGGCAGAAAAAAAACACGCCATTGTGAATGAAGTCTACCTCCTTTTTTAATGAACTAACCGCAAGGACCGTTCAAGCTGAAAAACCCTGTTCAGAAATACAGCGTCCTACCGAGTTGGTTAACTGAACCTACTTCGACATTTCTGCGACTACTTACATCAAGCATTTCATCACATACCTGAATCATTTCATAGTAAGACTAGCTGTAAGGCTTCAAGACAATTAGTCTGGACGCCACGTAATGTTTGCATTGAGAGATGCCCCGTTTTCAATGTGCCTGTATCAAGCAGGAACATATTCAGATTTTTGCGATAAAAAAACAATGATCATACTTACAAACAGCGAATTGTGATTCCTATCGTAGAAAGGAAACTGAATTGATATCGGTATCGTCCCAGAGCTCCCGTCGTCATTTGTCGGAACAAGCTGGTCTCCCTCGCTCACTCCAAAAGGATAGAAATTGGGAAGCACAATAGCATTCGATAAAAAAATGAAATGGTTACATAAGAGCACGATAATTTTCTCAACTTCCATAGTCTTCATTCTCTGTGCTAATGAAGGAATGTGTCATCTGAATTGCTCGCGATTAGGCCCGTCACATGCTTAATACACTCAAGTCAAAGGTTATCTTAAACTTCCGATAATGAAAATGCATATGCTGCACTCAATAAGTATTCTCTCAAGTTGAAGATCACCCATAAGGTAACTCCTGAGTACCGCCGTGCCTTTGTCAACTCTTTTTTCCTTGTAAGCTGTGATTAGAACATACTCATGAAAAGCGGAAGTTGTCACGGTCATATATTCTCTACCTGATCATTGTGCAACTGATTTCCGGGTGAATGTCAAACCGTTTCCTGAGATATGCAATACTCGATGCTGGCACTTTAGTTGTATCCGGCCGTTAATTCGTTTTCTTTTTTCTGGAGAGTTGACGCTTGTCTCGGGAGCGATCTGTATATTTTATTTTAAGATATGAAAAGATAGAAAAACAATTTTTTTAGCCACGGTCAATTGATGAAAATGAAGCTATCATGGGATTAAAAATTTCTTGTTTTGAGGTAGGGTGGGGTTCCTTTCTCATGTCAATAATAGATGTCAACAGGAGCTTAATGGCTTCTGGTGTTAAGTATATTTTCCTGATATGCTAAATCTGATGACACAAACAAGCGGAAAACAATTGAACGAAACATTTCATGCAGTTGTGATTGTGAGGAATGAAATCTAACTTGCGATTGAGTTAAAATCAAAGTTCTGAAGCGCACATTCTACGAAATGTTTGATATGGTTGGCAAAAACGTCTGCTTAGAAATCTTATAATTGCAACATATTAAATTACTGCGAATATAGCAAGATACACCACTACACTAAGGCATAGAAATTACGTTTACAGCTCTTCTCGTTTTATTTGCATGTTCAAACTACTTTGTAAGTGCGAGTTATTTCATGTGGGAAGTATTTGGTGATTGGTCAGATTATGAAATGTACCTCGGTGGCTGATCCAGGGAGGGGGTGCAAGGGGTTTAGAACACCCCCCACCCTCCCCCTATCCCCGAAACTGTTGGTATATTTATATCTACCGCTTGTCTGAAACCAAATGATTCTTCCATCGACAGGGTGGAATAATGCTATGCAACTTGAATCACAGTAAATGGTTTTAACCCAGGGGGTAACATGTCATAGTGTAGTCTGATCGTCCGGGTGAGTGTAGTTCTGAGAAGAACGTTTGTCGGTAATAGTGACTAACGTTTCGATAATTTGAGGTATCTAAAATTTTATATCATCTGCTTAGTTATTTGAAGGAAAGAGATGTTTCCTATTTCTTTTCCGTTATCTACAATGAAAAATAAATGGAAATATGTGCCTCCTACATGGAAGACCCAGAGGAGGCCTAGAGACGACACAATAATTCAAAAATGAAGTTAATTTCAAATAAAGGTGATGGTGACCTACAGAAGTTTAGTTCCTTCCTAACTTAAAGGAGATAAATGTGCTATTTCCAGTCAGTTGGCCAACTCACACTTTATTACTTTTGTTAGCAAGGTGGGGGGGGGGGGGGGGCTGATGTTATATTACAATCCAAGTACGTAGACGTGACTGGAAAAAGGGTTGGAAGAGCCAGCATATTTCTTTGTTAAGGGTTATTATAAGGTGGTCTTGACCTGACCGTGCAAACGTTAAATAGTTTATTCTGTGAAAAGACGAAAGACTAATCTCGATTAGGGAGCTTCCAACCTAAACTTCAGCATCGTTATTCCTTGTTTCCATTTCTTTGATGATTGTTCTGGCTTTCCAAGCCTCTCTTCATTGATTATATGATGATATACGAGGCAGAGCATATTGTCAAGCTGATTTCAGATCGTTGTATGATACATAAGCCGGGTTGTTGAAAGCTAAGTCCTCGTTGATCTTTTGTCCAATCTGTCCAAAACAACTAAATTCAAAGATAATACTGGTAAAAAATGTTTTTGATTTTTTAAATAAAATTAATACTGATGCTTTCATGTTTTCTTTCTGAGCCTTTCGGTATTTGCAGTATTCATAGAGCTCTGTTCTCCCGACTGATTTACACCAGTCAGAGCTCACCTGATGGTTCACAGCTTGGTTTGGAGCCATATTTTCCACAGCCGATCTCAAGTTTTAATTTCATTTTTTGTTTTCATCTCTCCTCTCCACCGTGAGGGGAGAAAATGAACAGATAAATAAATAAATGAAAAAAGGAAGCTCAACATTTTCCATTTATAGTTATATGGTACATGAACTGATTACCGAGTTGGAGTGAAGCCATAGAGGGCTAGAAATGCAATATCCCAGGTTCAAAAAGGTATATCCGAGCCTACAAATTGTCCGATCTGCAAGACAGCGGTCTCCCTTATCCAAGTTTGTTAACTTCATCGCTGATCACACAAGTATTAGTAAGTTATCACATTTTTCCAAAATCTATGGTACTTTAGAGTCTGAGCCAGTGATATATGGAGAGGTATTGGTCAGCGTACTCATTGTTTTGCCAGCTGTCATTTGATGCCAATCGTTCATCAGTATAACGGTTTGCAGCCAATGCTTGTCGACTTAAGTCCAGCAAATGAGAAGACGCTGATTGATATCAGCGAGCCCGCCATATGACATGGATACTGGTCAGAGGATTTATTAATGCAACAGCTGTCACTTTAACATCTCAATGTGGATGTCCGCTATAACAACAATGCACTGACGGAGTTAAACGATTGCATTGAAGGCCTATTTCATTTAGGACTAAACTGTTATTACATTTAGGGCTTTATTACATTTAGGACCAAATTTTATTTCATTTAGGACTTTATTACATTTAGGACAGTTATTACACTTAGGCCTTCCACGGCCACATCCAAATCCACATCCACAACTTAATTACAAACATATTGAAAACCTAGGTGGCCTCCCCTATAAGCTTGGCGGTTTCTTGGAGGTTCTTCTAACCCTACCATACTGTTAAACCTGTATAAATATTTTATCTTAAGTGGCTAATAAATAAAATTTATGATGATACGTAAGCCGCGTTGTTGTAAATAAAGCCTTCCTTCATCTTTTTTTCTATTTTGTAAAGCCTCTTGTACTTTAAGGTTGTATATCTATATTCATTACAGCATTGTTATTTCTACGTCTAATATAGCGGTAGACCGCAATGAGCACCACAAGGAATACGGTCCCTGCTGCTGCAGAAGCGAGGACACGCCACAGTTTCCAGTTCCCCTTCATACCTGAAAAGCAGAACGACTAAATTTAACGTTTACGATGGGTAAAAAGTTTTTGACTGATCGTTTTTTTTTTTAAAAATTAATGTTGATGATCATGCTTTCTTTCTGTGCAGTTAAGCACCTGCAGTATTCATGACGTATGCAGTGCTCACGTCTTAGTGTGGTTTACGGCAGTGCTTACCTGAAGGTTCACAGCTTGGTTTAGAGCCATTCCACTCTCCTTGGTAACAACGAATAACTGAAGGGCCGGTGAGACTGAAACCTGTGTCACAGTGGAACTTGAATAACATGGCTCCGTCTTTCGAATCCTTTCTTTGCACTAAACCATTGCTAAGTACGTTCTCAATTGGTATGCAGCCTGCAATAATTTAATCTCTGTTAGTTACTTATTCAGTGTCAAGGGAAACTTTAGATAAAATCCGTAGCCATGCACGAACGTCTGACTGAACATGTCTTTTTTTTCTACGCGTTTCTAAACTGGAGCAAAAAGAATTCTGCGATCCCTGGTGCACAATTATCCTTCAAGCATGATACCTCACGCGAGCAAAAGTCAGTTGGTTTTCTCGGTATTCGCGTCTCTCGCTGCTAACGTTTGGATCTCAAGTTTTCGCTGGTCATTGATCACAGGTCACCAACATACCCAGTCCAAGGTTATTTGTGCACGACAAAGAGCCGGTTCACAAAAATTCCCTAACGATATTACTACCGGAACAGTTCCAGTGTTTTGTAGATCATCACTAAAATTCAATCATTCGGTAATATAGTGGTTTGAAAATTGAATGTAAAGGTCAACAAAGTTACCAATTCTGAAATTAATATTTTAAAACATATAACAGCACAATAAGGGATTTGGCAATGCTATGATGCAAAAAGCAGCGTTATAAAACTTTTAAGCAAGGGATTACGCATCTCTTCTCTTTTCAGCATTGCTTTTCATCAATCATTTCTCATAATATCCACACTGGACAAAAGAGCCACTAACCTGGGGTCTCTATTTCATTTACGACAACAGCAAACGACTCCAATGCCTTCTTAGAATTCATCCCAATGCTGATCTTTCCAGTGGTGTAAATATCAAACAGGCATTGCTTGTTATTACCGCACACATTTCGAGCCTTCTGACCGAAGATTAAGTCATCAAAAATCAATTCCTGATCGAAAAATACCGGTATGTACTCCACATCGACATAAGAGGTATGATTTTCGCCATAATCGTATGTGAACAATGACTCCTCTTCAGTCGCAGCCCCTGTGAGAATAATATTACGGTAAGAATGACTAACAGTCTTCCACGTATTTTTAACAATTTTCTAGGGTCAGGCTTTTACTGAAGGCTAGGCTGAGCACATTTTCACTGTATTTGTGTAACTTGGTCACGTTTGTAAGTATATTTAAAACAGCAAAGGGTTGAAAAGGTTCACAAATATCTCAAGAGTAGCTTAAAGTGTTTTAACCTCAATCCTGTGCTTAAAAACCATTTTAGGCCAGGGAGATTCAACTTATCATCAAACTGAATGCATGACTACATTGGATTTTTACATATTATAAGGCAACCATCAAGGCCGCCAAAAGCATGTCAAACAGTGTTAGATGAATGCCTCCTCCTAAAGAGTAATGTCATGTCACCCTCTGAGTTCTACAGAAGGTACCTAATTAACGTTCTGGTTGTGGATGTAAGTGAACAAGGATTACTGTAAATATTTAGTCTCAAGTGTATTAGCTTACATTTTTGTCCAAATTCGTAATGAATTCGTGATTGGTTTGAATTAGTGTCAAGGAAGGTTCCGTCTGGAAGCAGGTATTCTTTTACTTTGTCCCCGTCCCAGAATCCCAGAAGGCCACTTGTACTTCCTTAAAAAACATAATAAAGAGAGAAAAACGTAATAAATAGACGTACTACCACTTGAATTACTTTAAAAGAATTCAAATCTGTCGCATCATACTTGATATTTAAAGCAGAGGATTGCCTTTT